TTTACATATTACGTCATAATATCAACGACCCCCTCCCCCTACTTTATGTAAAGAACAATTTTGTATTTATTTTTTTTAAGTAAAAAAAAAATCGCGTGAATAATCAATTCTTTGATTATTCATCAATCAATCAAATCGATCAATCAATCAATTCTTTGATTATTCATGATTTTGCCAATAATTTTTAATCAGAGCCACGATTTTCTAGATAATTTTTATTCAACTTTTTTCTCCGTGTATCTCTCTAGGAGAAAAAGAGCTCTTTAATAATCTCGTTTATCCCCATTACAGGCTTAGGTTTTCGACCTATATCTGAAAACACCAAGTCAGGTTCTATCATCGCGTACAATGCTGCTAATACAACACAAGTCGACATGTGGGTTGCACGACTCAACAAATTTCTCGAAAGTAAGTTTAAAAAAAATGAATATTTCAATAATTATTCTGAATTCCATCTAAATGTTGTTGTAATATTCCTCTCCATGCTTCCTGAATGAAAGAACAAAAACTTCCCTTAGGGGAGGGTGTGCCTGTACCGCTCAGCGGGTAATACCGCTCACCCGATTTTCTCCACAACCATCAACTTGAAAATTTCTTTCTGTTCCTGATCATGAAGAATTTGATGATGGGATGTGATTGTCGGAAAAATTTCACTTTATTTACCACTTTAAATATGAAAAAACACGTAACGAAGTTTTGAGGTCTTTACAGTGCAAAATTTGTGGACTTTTAATTAAGGTTTTTGATAGTTTCAAACGCTGAATTCTCATATTAAACTGTGGTTATTCGATTCGTGGTACGTTCACCCGTAATTTGAGACCAATTCGAACTCAAAACTCCGCTCACGTCAATAATTATCAACAATTTTGTTGACGCCGAGCGGAGCCGGTAATACCGCTCATAGGATCGGCCACGTAGTTGCTCGACAGCACTCGAGCACAGGTTAGGTTGGGGCGCGAGCGATACACGCAAAACCCTATGAGCGGCATTGGAATCGTGCCGAGCGGTATTACCCGACGGCGGCTCGTACCGCTCAATAGGCTCTCTTTTATTTTCAATCAATTTTGTGGATTCTAAGGAGAATTAGGCGTCTACACTTCGAGAATAACGAGTTCAATAGTTAAAGAAGTCTCACAAATACGTTTTTTATACTCAAGTTGAAATATAAAATATAAAATTGGCATTTCCCCTTAGGTGGGCGGTACAGGCACACCCTCCCCTATACATCGATTTTTTTTTCACTTTTCCCATCGAAAAATCATAATTTTTCGTCTGATTTTTCTGGAGTCCACCAATAATCCCCCAACATCAGCTGCCATTCTATCACGCGGGTTTATGTTTAGAGAGAAAAGGGAACGCGGGCGATATAAATTCAAAACATTAAACACATAAATTGATGAGTTATCGATATTCATTCAGTAAAAATGAAAATTTCATTGGATTTGGGCGCAACGAGCGAGGTATCTTATTTGAAACCCACTGGTCCCTATTTTTCTCCTCTCTATGAGCGCCCGTAGTGGGGACATAGGAGTTTCCGGAATTTCACTCTCCTACTGTCCCTCAGGTATCTTATACGAAACCTCTACTATATTTTCACCGAATTCGTTTTGAGCACGGAAATATTGCAACAACATAATGGATGAATTTGACCAATCAATATTGTATAAAAAATGTACACGCTTATTCAGTTTCATTCGGTCGATAACCAGATTACTTGCACACATCGCAGTCACCCGCTGCCCGGCCAAATCAACAGCCATGCAGTCACGATTTTCATAATCTTACGAAAGGCAAAGTTTGCGCTGTTGACATTAACAGCTGGAATCCGTGCTCACCGAAAGAGGAATTTGGTTTTCGGAATTCATCTCCCTGTGTTTTCATCAAGTTGAACAGGGTAATTAATCTTTGATCCAACAATCAAGTGGGGGAGCGCAACAGAACGAATCAATCTTTCACATGTAGTTGACTGCGAAGTCATTATGATAATGAGTGTTCAGCAGGAAATGTCAAAGGACATCTTTTGATGGATTTCGGTTTATCAGGTTCACTGAGACATAAAATTAGTTCTACCAAATAATTATACGTTCCCCTGAATCTCGTGTCGTGTTGAATCAATTTACTTGTGGACAAAAAAGAAAGTTTCCACCGAAACATGATGATTGTCAATGTTATTGAGTAGTGTATATCTTGTCCAATAAACACTTATCATTTTCATGGAACTAATGATAATTTGAAGAGGAAATTACAACTACAAAAAACGATATAATTCCGGGGGGACAATTTTTTGGGAAAAAAATATTCTTTCCTCGTCAATGTATTCTTCCTATGGTATGAACCTATGGAGTTCTCTTAGATCAAATGATTGTCGTTATATTTTGTCCTGCCAACAGGTCGAATTCTTCTAGGGATTTTTCTGATGGTCACGACAAAAATTGAATTTTCGTGAAAGCTATTAAATTTCCTTCTATCAAGTTAGTTAATTTCCCCCAAGTAATTCTGTCCGATTCCATCAAATATTTTCCCGTGGAACATATAGTTTTTCGGCAAAGCTAATTAAATTAGCGAAGCGGTAAACCGGGTCAAGTCAACTTAGCTCTACGCTGAATTTTCGAGGAATATCTCTGAATTCAAGAGAAATAGCGAAATTTTCATTATAACCTTTTTTGTAGAGCGAATTGAGAGCTATAAAAAAGGTTATTACAAAAAAATTTCTATGTTCCTTAGGTTTCGAGATATTCATTAAAAACTGACCAATAGTCTAAATCGACTTAAACCGGTTTACCGCTTCGCTACTGATTTTTTCTCTCAGTGTATGAAAACTGTTTCGCGGTTTGCTTCTTGGATTTTCTCGTTGCGACGTAAATGCGGTGGACTCGAATAACTATGGACTCGAAGACGATTCTAAAATTCAATGCATTTAGGAGATACCGGTACCAAAATAAATAAACTTGCCCATTATGCGACGCTGCCAGAAACTCGCTAAACACGCCCGAGCAGTGTAGAATGAATTCGGCAACGCTGAAGCCCAAATAACACGGGGAATCCCCGCAGAGGTGACCAATCGCAGGGTCGCGTCTGAAAGAACAGGCGAATACGCTGAGAGAAAAATTTCCTAATATGTAGACCATATTTACTTGAGAGAAGTAAGTTATTTTCAATGGCTTAAATCTCAGAGTGTTTGCGCTTCACAGCACTCGAATAAATCCTCATTTATCACCATCGTTGCACGATGGCATCTCTCGACCCAGTGGATTGAGATGCCTAGGAGAATTAAGTAATTGAAGAAAAATTACTTGTCTCAAGTGAATATTTTTCAGAAATTAGAAATTTTTTTCTCAGTGTAGATTCTGATTTTTCTACACAACCAAATTTTCCAAGTTTTTCTTCTTGAATTTTGAAATATAAAAACTTGCAAAATTTATGCTCGAGCATCTGAAGTGAATAAGTCGTCCAAAAAAATCGGAATCTACTGATTATTTTCTATCAAAATAAAATGTGAGTCAAGAAATCCCACGGAAAGACTGCGATATTTTCTGTGGAATTTGAAGTAAAATTTGATCGCAACAACGCCAGGTTTTTTTCTATTCAATTGCCTATGCACTGATTGATCATTCAATGAATATCATATCCTCGAATTATCTTCATTGCAGATATATGACTGGGTACCAGACTATTACAATGATTCGAGTAATCTGCCTGAAGAGATGCCTGAAAGTCTAGTGAACCATATCAAGAGTGTCAAGGGTAAAGAGGTAAAAGAATTCCAATAGAAAAAACACGCCTCACGGAATCAAGTTGTCTTCGAAGAAGACTGAATACAAACCAGTTTTTTATTTCTTTTATCGAGGCTGATAACGCCCATTTACGTAATCAATTTCCTTAGAAGTGATAGGGAGTTAAAATGAGTAAAAATAATTATGAAATTTTCATTTCTTGACGTTTGCGTTTGTTGTGCCCCGCCTAACAAACAGAAGAGAATTGAATACCATTCTATGAAAAATGAATGAACGAATCATAATTGTCCAAATCGTTTAGGTCAGAGGAAAATAGAATAATTTTACTGTTTTAATATTGCGTTTATTAAGGTTTTCTTCGAACAAAATTGATTAGAATTAATAGCTAGAATTATGAGATTATCTCACATTTTTGACGTTAAGAATAGGAGAATTTGAATGCAATATAGTGAAAATGATGATCGATTTTTTCACTTTGAACAAATAATATTAATATCCAAATACAAAATTTCTGATATGAATAAAAAGAAGCTGTGATTCAATATTCCAAATGAAGTTGTAATTTTTAATTTGGTGCTGAGAACCCGAGATGACAATATTCTAATCACGGAATTATATTGATGAGATGAACAACAGATTAATTGAATTACCGTGTGAACTAACTAAAAATTGATAACTGTGTGGGCACGCACTTTTACCAGAGTATCAACAAACATTGAATTCCAGAAATTCACACTCTAAAGTGTGTTCTGGAAGGAATTTAATTGTAATTATGATTAAAATCTCATTCAGTGAGCGTAGGAATTGGAACATGAGCAAATCATTTATTGTGAGATGAAAATTTAACAGCTGATAAATTGGGACATATGATTCTCATCGGTCGTATTGCCTTTTGCAGTGAAAATGATTAAAAACAATGAATTGAAGAAAGAAATATCGAACCTGTTGGGAAAAAGGGCATCAACACCCCGGCCGCTTGCGCTAGTTTTTAATAATTTCCACTGTCACGTGGAGCTGAAAATTCCAACTTCGGTAAATACTCGAGAATTTGACGGATTTTTCAGTTACAAAATCAATGGAACATTTCCTGTGAATGGGGTGTTGTTAAAAATTTCAAGATTTGTTTGCTTGAACTTTCAGGACTAATTTTATAGCAACGTAAAGAAGCTCCTGAAAAATTCAAGGATCTGTTAAATAAGGAAATCTAGCATTTACGTAAAAAATGATCAATGATGAATAATGAATTTTCTGGGAATTTTTGCGCATTATACTCAACGGCTCAAACGGAATTTATTCATACTACTAGATAAAATGTTTGAATTCACCTCTTCTCTTTCTCCTCTATTCTCCAGTTAAATACCGTTTGGGTCTCTTGTAACGGACGTCATGGAATTGATAGAGAGCTTCTCAACGACAGCATTGAGTACTTGCCTCGTGGCCCTCAAGGATTTCCAGGATACTATTATCCTTACACGAATACTCCAGGATATTTAAGCCCTCTGGTGGCTGTACACTTCCGTCGACCAGCAGGTGATGAAAACCAAGTGGATAATTGCATTTTTTATAAATGAGTATAGTTATTGTTGCTAATAAATTAGCAATTTGCTTCAGCACGGATTCTCTCTTTTTTTAATTCTTATTTCCCGATTGTCTTCTTCTATTTTTTTCGTGTTATAGTCCTATCATCAATTGAAATGTCATCAAAATTTTGCGTATTATTCACGTATTCACTATAAGGTGAAGCTTCACTAAAAAATTCCATATTATTATCAAATTCATCATTAACAATAAAGATCAAATTCATCATTAATAATAATGATTACTTATTGTTCTTCCTACAGTGAATTCATCACTAATAATAATGATCATTTGTTCTTCCTGCAGTGAATCAGCTGATTTTTGTGGAATGCCGTGCATGGGCGAAAAACATAAAATACGATAGGAAGGAGAAGTTGGGGATGGTTTCTTTCGAGCTACAGATCGACGATAGGCCAAAACCAAAGCAGAAAACTGGCTCAATAGATTTATAATAGTGAGTGTAATGACGACTGTCATGTCGATGAGAATCTACTCAGTGGTGGCTTAACGCATTGCCTTATTACCAAGTAAATTCAGTACACTTAATCTATGTACTTACGACGAGATAAGTATGCTTATCAGTCGAGTTCAAACTGTGTGTACTGTAATGTTGACAGTAACTGTTAGTCATGTTTTTTATGCGAAATATTACATTGTGAGCATTTTTGAAAATTTTGTAATAATGCCAACTCAACGTGCTATTTGTGTTTATACGTATTTTATAGTTTTACCACTGTTCATGTTAATGATAAATATTTGTAAGTTATTCGACAAAACCGGTTTTTGTTACAATTTCAAAATGATGAAGTGAATTTATTGTTTAGTTAGATTACGAATGACCAATGATTGTATTGTACAAATAAATTTTAGATTTATTTGATCAAGTTACAATGATCATGTGTTTCAATTTATTTGCGGTGGAGGAAGATTTGTCCCACTTTTCTACTTTATTTTTAGGGAAACAAGTGGACAATTGCATTTTTGTATAAATGAGAATGGGTTCTCGTCCTTTAATTCTTATTTCACTATTCTCTTCTTCTATTTTTTCATGTCAGTACTATCATCAATTAAAATGTCATCAAAATTTTACGTATTATTTCGCTCAGTCAAATGATTTTACATTCAGACCCTCTCAAGACTCGAATTCGTTTTCAGTCCGGGTTTAATCAAGATTCAGTCAAGGTTTAATCAGTGTATATGATAAATATTTGTAAGTTATTCGACAAAACCGGTTTTTGTTACAATTTCAAAATGATAAAGTGAATTTATTGCTTAGTTAGATGACGAATGACCAATGATTGTATTGTACAAATAAATTTTAGATTTATTTGATCAAGTTACAATGATCATGTGTTTCAATTTATTTGCGGTGGAGGAAGATTTGTCCCACTTTTCTACTTTATTTTTATGGAAACAAGTGGACAATTGCATTTTTGTATAAATGAGAATGGGTTCTCGTCCTTTAATTCTTATTTCACTATTCTCTTCTTCTATTTTTTCATGTCAGTACTATCATCAATTAAAATGTCATCAAAATTTTACGTATTATTTCGCTCAGTCAAATGATTTTACATTCAGACCCTCTCAAGACTCGAATTCGTTTTCAGTCCGGGGTTAATCAAGATTCAGTCAAGGTTTAATCAGTGTACATGATAAATATTTGTAAGTTATTCGACAAAATCGGTTTTTGTTACAATTTCAAAATGATGAAGTGAATTTATTGTTTAGGTAGATGACGAATGACCAATGATCGTATTGTACAAATAAATTTTAGATTTATTTGATTAAGATACAATGATCATGTGTTTCAATTTATTTGCGGTGGAGGAAGATTTGTCCCACTTTTCTACTTTATTTTTATGGAAACAAGTGGACAATTGCATTTTTGTATAAATGAGAATGGGTTCTCGTCCTTTAATTCTTATTTCACTATTCTCTTCTTCTATTTTTTCATGTCAGTACTATCATCAATTAAAATGTCATCAAAATTTTACGTATTATTTCGCTCAGTCAAATGATTTTACATTCAGACCCTCTCAAGACTCGAATTCGTTTTCAGTCCGGGTTTAATCAAGATTCAGTCAAGGTTTAATCAGTGTATATGATAAATATTTGTAAGTTATTCGACAAAACCGGTTTTTGTTACCATTTCAAAATGATAAAGTGAATTTATTGCTTAGTTAGATGACAAATGACCAATGATCGTATTGTACAAATAAATTTTAGATTTATTTGATTAAGATACAATGATCATGTGTTTCAATTTATTTGCGGTGGAGGAAGATTTGTCCCACTTTTCTACTTTATTTTTATGGAAACAAGTGGACAATTGCATTTTTGTATAAATGAGAATGGGTTCTCGTCCTTTAATTCTTATTTCACTATTCTCTTCTTCTATTTTTTCATGTCAGTACTATCATCAATTAAAATGTCATCAAAATTTTACGTATTATTTCGCTCAGTCAAATGATTTTACATTCAGACCCTCTCAAGACTCGAATTCGTTTTCAGTCCGGGTTTAATCAAGATTCAGTCAAGGTTTAATCAGTGTATATGATAAATATTTGTAAGTTATTCGACAAAACCGGTTTTTGTTACCATTTCAAAATGATAAAGTGAATTTATTGCTTAGTTAGATGACGAATGACCAATGATCGTATTGTACAAATAAATTTTAGATTTATTTGATTAAGATACAATGATCATGTGTTTCAATTTATTTGCGGTGGAGGAAGATTTGTCCCACTTTTCTACTTTATTTTTATGGAAACAAGTGGACAATTGCCTTTTTGTATAAATGAGAATGGGTTCTCGTCCTTTAATTCTTATTTCACTATTCTCTTCTTCTATTTTTTCATGTCAGTACTATCATCAATTAAAATGTCATCAAAATTTGATTCATTTCATTTTATATCATTTCATTTCAAGCCCTGATTTAATTGCTTTTACTGATGATTCTTTCAGTAATCATGAAAAAACTGATTTTCTCTTTCAAATCGCCTAAACAATGTCCTGTAACTCAACAACAAATTGTGCGACCCCATCATATTCTGATAGAATCAAGAGGATATTGTTATCAATTTTTTGAGCCATGACTAATTTCATTTTGATGACAATTTTTCGAGTGATCGTTAAAAAATCGATTTTTGGAAAAATAGCAATTTTTTTCAATCTGTATGGAAAATTGAATTTTAATTGGTATCAATGAATAAAATAAAATAGAAATAAAATTCATCAAATCGGACATCGGTATAATCATAAATTGCAAATACAGTTAAATTTTGAATAACAGAATTGTTAATATTACTTAACAATTTTTAATCATTAAATTAATCAATTGAATATTGAAATTCCGAATTATTTCATCAATCCACAATTAAGTTCAGAAAATTGAAGATTATTTGACTAATCGAAAAATCATTTTTATGAAATTTAGAATTATTTTCTCAATATAAAATTATCAGTTGACAATCCCATATTGTCTAATAATTGATGCCGATCCCTGCATGAAATTCGATTGATCCCTCAAAAGAAAATTTCGCGAAAATATATTTCCAAAAATAATTGATGCAAAAAAATGGCTGGAAATTGCAGCAATCCCAATGGAGGAAATAAAAACGTCACAAAATGTACAAACAATAATTTTCGATGGCAGTAGATTTTTTTATTTCTTAAAATATTATTTCCATTCCAAAAAATCGGCAACAATATTTTCTACCTAAATAATAAATGATATATATTCTCATATGTAAACGTGCATGGAGTGTTAATTTCAAAGACGCTGTTTCAGTTTTAAAAACACAATTTTTTTTTCGGGGAGTTTCATATGTATGGTACAAATCACAGATCTACCAGATCAATCGTGACACACGATATTCAAGAAGACAAATACGTTGTATATTATCGAAAAAACTACAAACTATTCACTCAGAGATAAAACGAAGTTAATTCTGTGGTGAAGTGATAAAACGTCAACAAATTTTGCATTTTTGCATTTTAAAAAATTGTGCATTCCTCGCGCAAACCATTCATTATAGAAAAATGTGAAAAAATCATTGTTAAATGTTCTCCAAAAACTGTTCATCATCGAAATAGTTCCACCCCAGCAAGACCGGAGAATCCACTTGTTGCGTTGTACCACTTCACAGCTGATATCATAAATAGACTCCATTTGTTATAAATTCCATATCAAATTTTTTGTCCTTCATCAGGTATTTACAATTAATGTGACGACAATACGTATATAAATTACACAATTAATATCATTGAATTTCGATTCAGTATGAGGATGAGATTCTCTAAAAGCTGCTCCAATTTCTCTGACAGTTTCGGTGATGAAATTTCAATAATTGGCTCTAGTAGGATTGATATTTGTTCAGACTTTGGGTGAGATGGTTCACTTAACAGTATGTTGGCATAAAAAATAAGGCACTTCGGAAAAAATAGCGTGAATAGCGTTCATTCCTCAGACCTCAATTTCCAGGATTCTTTGAGATTCCCATGTTCTTTTTTTTAATTGACTTTAATCTCACAAAGTGCATGATGAGGAACGTTTGATTGAACTCTGCGATTGAATTAATCAATCAAGAGCTCGAAATGTACTGAGCCTAATTTGTCGTTCCTGTGGTGCTTGATATTCCTGGCCCAAGCTTTGCACTCGACATTGATGAGAATTCCCGCTGAAAAAAGTTGAATTAATTATTATAAATTATCAGTTGAGAGTAGAGAGTAGTGATGAGCGTATTTAATTATTTTCCTCCTTAAAGTGTCGATCTGGATATTAAATATTGAAATATTTATTATTCGGGGGATGTCTAAATTCTGAACAGCAAAATCCTTGATATTTACACGGATGAACAAATTGTTTCATGGAAAAACTCGAAAAAAGCGCTTTCTTCAAGAAATTTTGTAGAATTTCTATAGTCCTATTCATTTCATTTTATATTTAACGAAATTCATCACCTGGGGTGGCCATCATTTTCGATGGATTTGAAGGATTTGAAGGATTTCAATAGATGAAACTTTGATTTGAGCAGGAGGTACATTGGAATTTTCGATAGCTGGAGACTGATTTTATAGATGGATAAGTACATAATAATCGCTCGGTTAGTAAAATATTTTTTAACAATAACAGTTTATTGACAGCTCCACGCGGACGAAAAACTTTAATAGAAAAACCTATCTAATTCGTTGGGAAATTCTATTGAAAACTTTCTATTAGTTTTTGGCCGATTGTGTTGAAATGTTCAATAGAAAACATTCAATAGAAAAAGTCAACAGAATTCCATTTTTCTATATAACTTATTCTTTTCATACATTTTCTATAGAATTTTCTCGACGCAAATTTTCTTCATTCTTATAATTTTTTTTCATTCTATGTTTCTTTCCTTCTCATCAAGAAAATCAAACGAAAAAACTTAGAAAATTTGAGCCGAGGAAATTCTATAGAAAATATCTCAATAGAATAAGTTATATAGAAAAATCGAATTCTGTTGACTTTTTCTATTAAATGTTTTCTACTGAACATGTCAATAGAATCAGCCAAAAACTAATAGAAAGTTTGATAGAAATTCAATAGAATTTTCTAACGAATTCGATAGGTTTTTCTATTAAATTTTTTCGTCCGTGCATTGATAGCTCTTGAATTTTTTCTGGGATCTCGGGATGTGGGAAACAAATGTTTCAGTAGATTCGGCAAAAAACTAATAAATTTTTCAATAGGACTCCAATGGAATTTTCCAGTTGATCCAGATCCAGAGGGGAAATTTGCCTTAACATTTTTTTTCTCAGTCAACATACATTTGAGCGCATTTTAACCCCTCACCTACGGGTTCAGAAGACTTAAATTGAAATTTCCAAGTTTCAAATTGAAACTCTAAACTTGAAGCTGTCAGGCTTCAAATTAAGACTTGAAAATCTTTTTTTAAGACCTTTGTAATCTTGGAATAAGGTATTATTTTCATTATTTTAACTCAAATGATCTTGACAATTCCCGTTGAAAATTAGAATATGGAGAGATAAATACCTCGCGGACGTTCGAACTGGACAGCAACGAGGGGACTGAGGTATCCGTCACTGTGGAAATATGGATAATAGTAACCAGGGAATCCCTGCTTTGGATAGTACTTGATAGGTCCAATATTTTCCTGATCAGCAGGATTTTCTCCCTCACACGAGACCCATATCGTGTTCAATTGCAGTGAGTTTTGTTGCACTAATTGACGGATCGTTCCCTTCAGCTCCTCTGGCATTTTTCTGGGAAGGTCTTGAGTGCTGTTGTAGTATTCTGGCATCCATCCGTAAATCTGTGAAGAACATAATTGAACATGCAATCCAGAGAATCCACTGAATTAATCACGAGTAATAATGAATGGCAATTTTACTTTATTCAGCTTCAGGAAGATGCACGGACTCGAGGTGTGATATCCGAAGAAATTTTCCTCAGTGCAGGGATGCCAGTCTCGCACGTTTACCACACAGACTTGTCCAAATGCTATTTTTTTACCATCTTCACAGTTTACGACGTTCTGACCACGACCAGGGGAAGAACCCGGCTTCTTGTAGTCTGCAGAGCAAAATAAGGAAGTCAAAATTGTGTTGAGGATGATTCTTATTCCGACCCTTGCGACCCTTAACCTGACCCTCGTGACCCTTATTTTCACTCTGGTACCTTTTAGTTTTTCACTCTCATGACCCTTATTTAGGCCCTTACTCTGACCCTTAATCTAATCCTTGTGACTCTTATTTGGACCCTTAATCTGATGCTCGTTACCCTTACTTGTAGCCTTAATCTGACTTTTGTGATCCTTAATCTGACCCTTGTGACGCTTATTTGGATCCTTAATCAAACCCTCATTATATTTCTCGTGACCCTTATTTTGCCATTACCAATTCCGTAGATAGAGTCAAGATATGAAAATCTCTGGCTTGAATTTTCACATTTTTTTTTGCATTCTTGACACCTCGACAAATGGATCAGCTACTCACCCGCGAGAAACTTTTTCAGCGACGTAACCCAGTAATCGTAATTTGTTGCATTGCTGCCCTTGAACCAGATCAGCGTACTCTCGACGTTGTCCTCTGGCGGCATTGGCCTAAATCCCAATCCTGTCGACATAAAATTCATTCAAAATGATCTAAAAAATCTTAGAAAATAGAGGAATCGAGTGAAGACGGAAAATTACCTGGATTTGTACCAATCATGGATCTTTCTAGCTGCCACTTTGGAACTCTTGGATCCAGAGTTTGGAAGAATATGAAAAAGCAGATGGCGACTAAGGCAGCGAGGACTCCGTAGAAGATCAAGTAGAATATACCGATTTTTCCTGAAACAATATAAACAGGGAAATTTTATTCCACTATAACAGCACGATATGCGATCTGTCCTTTATTGTACGAACTGATAAGAACATTAGGGGGCTACGCCCCCTGTTCGCTTTGCTCGCCAACCCCCATATGACCTCCATATGGGGGTTCATATTTTCTATATGATCCCCATATGACCCCCATGATCCTTATTCTGACCCTTGTCACCCTTATTTGGACCCTCAATCCGACCCTTAATCTTGTGAATCTTTTTGTTGACTATTTTTTCAAATAACTTTCTTATGAAGTCTATCAAAAATCTGGAATTTATACTTTCAAGCAAGATTTGATTTATCACCCACTAGTTTTTTTTTTCCAATAGTTCATTATTCTCGTGAACTTTATTCTGCCCCCGTGACCTTTATTCTGACCTTCGTAACCCTTATTCTGATTCTCGTGACCCTTATGACCATGATTTTGGCCCTCGTGACCCTTATTTTGACCCTTATAATCCTTATTCTGACCTCCGTAAGTGTAACGCCCTATGCGAGCCTTAATTTAACCCTTGTGACCCTTAATCTGACCCTCGTGACCCTTATTCATTTACTTCAATTTTTGACGTGGATACGTCTGTTTTCATCATGGGGGGGCATTTAGGGAAAGTCCTTATGGTTCCTTATCGGTAGTGGCGCCATCTATCGGAATTCTAGAACATTCTAGAATTCTCTAGAAAATTCTAGATGTTTCTAGAAAATTCCAGATTTTTCTAGAAAATTCTTCAGTTTTTTTTAGAAATAAATTACAATTTTAAGGGGTCCTTAGCGCTGGTCAGCAAAATCTGGATAAAATTAGTGGATCCGTGTTAAAATTCCCAAGGGTCTATGTATGTGATGATCTCGTTGTACATAACAATTCAATCGTATCGTGATTATAAAAAGCGTCTTATCATGATGAGACGGTCCGAAATCCCGAATTCTTCTAATATACCTATACAATGAAAAACTATGATGTTCAGTAAAGGAAAGGGAAGACCACAGACGAGATATTTATTGAAAACTGGTCAATAGTCAAAATTGACTTATACCATTTTACCACTTCGCTACTCAATTGATAATCTCAATTTCAAATTGATGGTGAATTAAATGTTCAGTAATATGGATCTATAAATTTTCTATTAAGTAAATAATACGAAATTTCTTATAAGGAATTTTCAGTTATCGTCAATCTGCCTAACTAAATTACTGATTAATAAATAATTCCGAATTTGAATATTTAAATTGATAATTACTTCAATAATTGAAATTTAAGAGTGATACTAACTAGGGGAAGGACGTAAAAATGGGAGGTGTTGAGATGTTTTTCAATTTTCAATATCTTCATTTATAAGTGAAGATATTGACGACTACAGAAGATCACGAAACGTTCCATTTTGCCCGACTCTCCCCTAATTGACTACTTCTCATGAACACAATGTGTTAAATTTCATTTTTTGTGAAATTTAATTTTTTTGTTAAATTCCATTTTTTCAAAAATCCTTTTCTCGAAAGCATGTTCGGAAACGAAAATCGATATTCCGCCTAAAAAATACTCTTGGTCCATTCTATAAACTCTGAAGAGGATTTCTCCCAGACAAAATTCCCCGAACTACTTAGATATCCTTAAAGTAGCTCTACCCTTCGGCCGGGCTACGCTGTACTTTTGGATATTTTCAGTTTTCAAATTTTTCAACTAAATTCCATGGAAAAAATTTGAAAAAATTCATACTCAGTCAGTATTATCTAAATTAAATTTCACAAAATACTGATATTTTTTCAAACATTTTCCTCTTATAAATAAATAATAAAACTTGTTTGCGAAACGGTGGATTATTTTTCATGAGGTGTCAAAAAAATTCTTGATTTTTTCACATCTAATGAAAAAAAATTCAAATTTTAATCTTTGATTACAACGGAAATGTTGATTTGCACATAAGACATTGGGTTAAATCCTGATTTTTAAACATTTCTTCTTTGAAAAACCGAAACGATAATTAAATTGAGAAAAAAAATTAGAATTCCGAATCTAATCGAGTTTTCTGCAATTTTTTTGCAGTTTTATATAATAATAATCTTTGAATTTACTGGAAGGGTAGAGCTACTTTAAACTGTTCGAAGGGCCTTGCATTCCGAACATTATTTCTCCTTCCTCAACCTCACTCAACACCTGTCGATAACAACAAACATTGCATGCACCAAGCGAATGATAGCAGAGTAATGCCAAGCAACAGATTAATTACGTTAGTCCGTACTTCAATTTATAAAGAGGATGAAAATGCCTAGTCAAATGGAGCAATCCAATTACACCGCGCTGATTCAATGTTTCGTCAAGGTCATTTCTGTTATAACTACATTCCAGCATCCTGAATGAACCCCGGAAAACGGAAGTCACTAATTTCTTTTCTACCATTAGATTTCCCAATTTTGATTGTCCGGCCTTCAAATTAATTCCGTGCTTCGACCAATCGTCCCCAAACTTGATACTGAAAGATCCTCCAGAGGTGCTGAACTTCTCCAGATGATCCATCTGACGAAAGCGCAGATTTTTCAATTGATGGAGAATTTTGGTAATTGATTATGAAGGAGCAATCGATTTATCCCCGCGAATTTGTCGTTTTCAGACTGCTTCGAGATTATGCACTCAAAGACACGTGAGTGCACGCATACCCTTTTGGTGTGGCCCTAGGCTTACGTAATACCGTAATACCGCCATTTAATGTCAATTGACCTCGTTGTAAACGTTCGTACTAAGGGAAGTTTAACAATTGCCATTCAGCACCTCTGGAAACTTTTCTACACGCATACTGTTTTCAGAATTATTCTTTGAAACATTGGTTTTCAACGTGTCACTGATTTTCAGGAATACACGGATAGAAATATTCAATAAAAATGAGGTATTTTTTCCGTAATTCCGGAGCGAAATGTGGTTGTAGGAAATTTTATGGAATTGTCACGGCATTTTTCCGGAGCGTTTCGTAATTTTTATCTGAATCTCCGGTGAAAAATTACGATACCGTCATCTTAATTTCCTGAGTCGATTCCGTAATCGGTGAGCGAATTGTGAGCTCCGTAATTTTTACTGAACATTTCTTTCCGTGTATTTCATGACAGCTTCGTTGTAATAAATGGACATGTCAATGTTTCAAGGCTAAACTTCTGTAAAACTTGAGACACTCGTTTTTTTAGAAAAAAGTTTGAGGGAAATATCTTATGAATTTTGAGAGCCGAGATTTATTCAAATGATCATTTCTTCGATTCTAATTTTTGTTGATATGATTGCGGTGTTCAGGTTCACATGAGGCATTTGATCATTTATATGGGAAATATCTGTCAAAAGTGAAAACGATTGATAAGCGTCTGTGGAATTGTCAGACTGATAATTTCCCGGGCATGTGGAACGCGTTGCGTGACTCCGAATACTGCCCTCTGGTCGAAATCATAATTGAGGAAATTATTGAAGTTATTTGGAATATATCGGAATTATTGAAAAGGCAATAGAAAAAATATTATTATTATTATTATTGAAATTCAATAGAATTGTCTATCGAATTTTCTGTTTTTCTACAAAATTTTTTCATCCGCGGAATGCGGGAAATCAGAATTGAAGCCCTAATTTAATGTCAATTGACCTCGTTGTAAACGTTCGTACTAAGGGAAGTTTAACAATTGCCATTCAGCACCTCTGGAAACTTTTCTACACGCATACTGTTTTCAGAATTATTCTTTGAAACATTGGTTTTCAACGTGTCACTGATTTTCAGGAATACACGGATAGAAATATTCAATAAAAATGAGGTATTTTTCCCGTAATTCCGGAGCGAAATGTGGTTGTAGGAAATTTTATGGAATTGTCACGGCATTTTTCCGGAGCGTTTCGTAATTTTTACCTGAATCTCCGGTGAAAAATTACGATACCGTCATCTTAATTTCCTGAGTCGATTCCGTAATCAGTGAGCGAATTGTGAGTTCCGTAATTTTTACTGAACATTTCTTTCCGTGTATTTCATGACAGCTTCGTTGTAATAAATGGAAATGTCAATGTTTCAAGGCTAAACTTCTGTAAAACTTGAGACACTCGTTTTTTTAGAAAAAAGTTTGAGGGAAATATCTTATGAATTTTGAGAGCCGAGATTTATTCAAATGATCATTTCTTCGATTCTAATTTTGGTTGATATGATTGCGGTGTTCACATGACGCATTTGATCATTTATATGGGAAATATCTGTCAAAAGTGAAAACGATTGATAAGCGTCTGTGGAATTGTCAGACTGATAATTTCCCGGGCATGTGGAACGCGTTGCGTGACTCCGAATACTGCCCTCTGGTCGAAATCATAATTGAGGAAATTATTGAAGTTATTTGGAATATATCGGAATTATTGAAAAGGCAATAGAAAAAATATTATTATTATTATTATTGAAATTCAATAGAATTGTCTATCGAATTTTCTGTTTTTCTACAAAATTTTTTCATCCGCGGAATGCGGGAAATCAGAATTGAAGCCCAATCTTCACAAAATGTCCCAAATCAAGTGATAGAATCTTGACATTGAGAATCAGCGCTAAGTCCCCAACTCCCCCCTAAATAAATAAATCAACCCGAATTAAACCCGATCTTTCTCTCTCATTATTCAATAAAATTACCCCGATTTCCTCAAATGTTATTAGATCGACAGTGTCTCCCGGTCAACCGCTAAATTGAATTTTCGTGGGTAATTGGAGCGAAGGTCATTGTCAGTGAGTCGGTTCAATTCGGTTACACTCGGCTCGCGTCAGTTACTCCCAGTCCCAGTTGGTAAAGTAGATTATTAATGACGTCCCCGAGTGAGACAACTGCACGTCCGCGTGGTGGAAGTTGTCGGTAGTCACAGTCGCACCCGCAGCACTCCGTGCAACAACTTGCAGCTCACAAAACCGAGAGTGGGGGGTTGATAGTAGTATTGAATACAAATAGTCAGGAATTCTGAATTCTCATGAATTTCCGACGGGAGTGGTCGCTCCCCTCTCGACGCTATCTAAATTTCCGATAATTACCACAACGCACCGGCCAGTGAGGAATGAAAAATGAAAGCGAAGATGATTAAGACCGCGTGGGTGGAGACTGAGAATTCTTTCTGTTGTTATTGCATGACTCACGTTAAGAAACGTTGCATTTACATGCTATAGTACAACCGGCGCTTATTCATCAATAAACAACATGAATGGGAGGGCATGAGAGGATCATTCTGAATCCTCTCGTATGGAAAAAATATATATACAGAAAAATATATGATACTTAATGGGGGGGGGGGCTAAAATGGACACTAGACTTTTTTTTTTAATATTCATAACTCAGAAACAAATTTATCAATTGAGCTCAGTTTAGGCTCGCCACAAAGGGAAAGAGTTGTTCTTTGTATTGAAAAAAAAATTATTAAATTTTATCAACATTTCAACCCCTCATTAACATTTTTAAAAAAGTCAAAAGTGTCCGTCTTACCCCAACCTCCGCTATAAGTTTTGGCTCAATCAATAGTATTGTTGTATTCGAAGAAATGATTCGGAGAGTAATGAAAGGCGCGTTTTTATTGACAGTTCTTTAAAAAAATTGATGAAACAAAAGTGTCATCAGACTTCAAGTCAGACTCTAAAATTCCGATATTTATTTCCGAAAAGTAACGATATTAATTAATTCCATAAATTTACGATATTAAAAATGGAGAATAAAATTTTCATAATTAAAATGTTCATAATAAAAATTTTAAAAAAGTAAAATGGAAAATTGAAGAAATTGTAAAATACGAGGGGAAGAGGATAAATCGAGTCATTCGATTCCGTAACAATATTGAAAATCGGAAATAAACTTTTCATAATTAAAATTTTCATAATAACCATTTAAAAAAAAATCAAATGTAGATTTTTTAAAATGAGAGAATACAGGTGGATTTTTTATTACAGAAGAGGGGAAAAGGATAAATCGAGCCATTCGATTCCATAACAATATTAAAAATCGAAAATAAACTTTTCATAATTAAAATGTTCATAATAAAAATTTTAAAAAATTAAAATGGAAAGTTGAAAAAATTGAAAGATACAGAAGAGGGGAAGAGGATAAATCGAGTCCTTCGATTCCATAACAATATTAAAAATCGAAAATAAACTTTTCATAATTAAAATGTTCATAACAAAAATTTAGAAAAATTGAAATAAAGAATTGAAAAAATAGGAGAACACAGGTGGATTTTTATTATTTTACAAAAGAGGGGAAGAGGATAAATCGAGTCATTCGATTCCGTAACAATATTAAAAATCAAGAATAAAATCCTCATAATAAAAATGTTCACAATTGAAATGTTCACAATAAACATTAAAAAAACTAAAAACGTAGAATTAAAAAAATTTGAAAATACAGGTGAGCAGTCCCGTTCATAACAAATCCACCATTACCTGTGGAAATCCCGCTATAGTGGAAATTCCCGCTGTAGTATGCGAGCGCGGCGTACCTGGCAACGGATCCTTCCCCCCTGTTCCACGAACTACATGAAACCCATCGCAATCCCCTCGGTTAATAAATAAATTCGCTTACCCCAACTACTGGGTGTCCTTCCCAAAATCGCACCAGTTTGTGGATTATAAAGAAAATTTCTAATAGACTGTCTTGTAGTCACACTGGGCGGTTTCTCGTACGGGTTCATCGACTCCGTCACCAACTCCTTCCTCGGGTCTTTCGCGACCATTTTGACGGTTTAATTCAACTTTTCGACAATTGGTTTGATTAATTTTTCGGACTTAACGGGGACGGGCGGAGGTGAATTTAAACGTTTGAGTTTAGCCCCGAAGTTTGGAAATAACAGTTTAGCTGGGGGCCAACTGTCGACCCGTCTGTTGGTACCCGCTTGGCTGAATCAACTGAAGTTGTAAGAGGCGTTAGCCTGCAGTCTCGATACCTCTACCTCGGTCCCCCCATATACCGTACCTCCTACCTTACTCATTATTTATCCCTTCCACGTTCAAAGTTTACCTCGTTGTAGCCAACTGTCTACCTTGTTAAACTAACAGCATCAGGCGTTATTGGTTTATCAATGGGTTTTGATGGTGTTACGATTTTATTGGGTCATTATATCGGCTGTTTGATCATTTGTTGAATATTTAACTGCGACGGAACTTGGGTACTTGCAAGTTGAAGACTTTATGGGCGAAAGTATTGGCGAATTTTTTTTTAGGCGCGCTCATCGTTTTTGCAACAATGTTTTTTTTTCATTTGGGCTACTATTTATTTATTTATTTATTTATTTATTTATTTATTTATTCATTCATTCATTTATTAATTTATTCATTTATTTATTGATTCATTTATTGCTTCTGTATGAAATTCGTTAACCCAATAAATCTTCAAATAAATTTATGTCTGAAGTAAATTTATTTTCCGCAGTTAAACCGTTTTAGGAATCCATCGTAGAGTGCTTTCATTTAGCCATTCGATCGCGAATGTCGACTAAATCCTTCATAATTAGTGGTATTTTTGGAAAATAGTGATAATAGATCGATATTCCACGTTTTTCGGTAGAAGACCTTCGATGAACTTTCGTTCAAAATTGATCGGCTGATTATTTTTATTTATTTCGATAGTTACTGAGGATTTTCTGAACTAGGCTTGACGTGACCGCGCCTTAGTGTTACTAAATCGGCTCTAAAAAGTCCGAACATGCGATTTTTAGGTAGTGTCCGTATGTGTGTATGTAAGCATGTGTTCTTTTTTGTATGAGATCGATTGAATTTCATGAATTTTTTGATGAATATAGACTTCAATAAGCTCTATTCATTGACACCAATTAAAATTCAATTTTTCATACAAATTCGAAAAAATTGATATTTTTCCAAAAATCGATTTGCCAAGGATCACTCAAAAAATTGTCATCAAAATGGAATTAGTGATGGCTCAAAAAATTGATAACAACATCCTCTTGATTCTATCAGAATATGATGGGGTCGCGCAATTCGTTGTTGAGTTACAGCACATTGTTTACGCGATTTGGAAGAGAAAATCAGTTTTTTCATGGTTACTGAAAGAATCATCATTAATAGCAATTAAATCAGGGCTTGAAATAGTATTTTTCCGGCCTGTTGCGATGGGGTTTTTTACTCGTGTGGCGTTGGCCTCCGAGCCGTAGGCGAGGACTGGCCAACCACACGAGTAAAAAAACCCCATCGCAACAGCCCAGGAACAGTATTTTTCTGTAGTGATTTTCAAGTTTTCGAGTTTGGGAAGTGTGTAATACCAATTCCCAGACCAGAAATCGTGAGAAGCAATACAGAAAAGTATATTTCAATGGCTTCTTAATCAAGTTGAAAAATGGTGAGAACAGCATCATTGCTTATCAAGTTACACAATACCGTCATGAGCTTTTCATATAAAAATCTCAATTTCTATTAAACTCAGGTAGCAGTCTATTATGTTGAATACTTATTCATATTGGTTCATGCTCCCGACTAACTTCTGACAGAGCCTGGGTTAAGCTCTGGCTAAATCCTGAATAAACCCTGATTAAATCCCGGCTATACACTGATTAAACCTTGATTGAACCTTGATTAAACCCGGACTGAAAACGAATTCGAGTCTTGAGAGGGTCTGAATGTAGAATCATTTGACAGCACGAAATAATACGCAAAATTTCGATGACATTTCAATTGATGATAGTACTATAACACGAAAAAAATAGAAGAAGACAATCGGGAAATAAGAATTAAAAAAGGAGAACCCATTCCAAAGCAAATTGCTAATTTACGAACAACAATAACTATACTCATATATAAAAAAATACGGTTGTACATTTTTTATTAATAATACTGATGTATACTATATAATGAACTTTTTTATTGATGAATATTTCGAATGTATTTATCTTCTAATCCCACTTTTCCATCATTTCATCATTTATTACTTGATTGTTTCCACTTGAAATGATTTTTCCTCACACTTTATATATTTTATTAGATTAGTAGCCGACCGAAGGGTAGAGCTACTTTAAGCTCCATGGAGTAGGACATACGCGCGCAGAGCGTGCGGACTAATCAAGTAATATTCTAAAAAACAGTGAAAAAAAACTTGTTAAAAAAGCGGGTGAGTGGGAATTGCTTGTGTCGGCGACACTAAAAAAATAAAAACGATATTCTAGATCTAAATATAGGTGCGGACCTAATGAGTCTAGACAGAACGAAAATGAATGCCACTAAAAACATTAATGATAGACTAAATTAGCGACAGACAGGAACAACGTGTTACTAACCCCAATGATAACTGACAAAAATAACGGAAGAATTGGTCAAGTGAATTGTGAGTTCCGTAATTTTTACTGAATATTTCTCTCCGTGTGTGTAAAATCTATACACCTTTGCGATAAGGAACACACCTAAACGAAATTACACACATCCCAAACGTAGTAACTACACAACATGATACACACTTGACTTTGCAGTGTACACACGCGCACTGTTTTACAATATATTGGAATGAGTAGATTCTCGATTTGATCAAATCTTACTCAGATCAAGTATAAGTTCCGAATTGAATCAAATTTTTTTTATTCTATTGATGAATATCGCATCTAATTCATCCGGTTAGAACCTTTAATTAAGAATAGCAGGTTGTAGGCGAGAGTGGGGTAAAACGGGCCCTTTTGATTTTTTCGATAGCAATAATCGTTATTTTGATTTATTCCCCTTTTCCGCTCACCAACCCCCATATGACCCCCATAATCCTAATTCTGATCCTTGTGACCCTTAATCTGACCCCTCGTGACCCTTAATCTGACCCTCACGACCTTTAATCTGACCCCTGTAATCCTTAATCTAACCCTTGTGACCCTTAATCTGACCCTCGTGAACCTTATTCTGACCCTCATGACCCGGATTCTGACCTTCAGACCGTTATTTTTACCCTCGTGACCCTTATGACCCTTGTTTTGACCCTCATGACTATTATTTTGAGCATCGTGACCCTCATTCTGATCCTCATGACCCTTAATCTGACCCTAGTGAACCTTATTCTGACCCTCATGACCCGGATTCTGACCTTCAGACCGTTATTTTTACCCTCGTGACCCTTATGACCCTTGTTTTGACCCTCATGACTATTATTTTGAGCATCGTGACCCTTAATCTGACCCTCGTGAACCTGACTCTGACCCTCATGACCCTTAATCTGACCCTCGTGACCCTTATTTTGAAACTCATGACCCCGATTCTGACCTTCAGACCGTTATTTTTACCCTCGTGATCCTTACCCTGACCCTTATGATCCTTGTTCTGACCCTCATGACTATTATTTTGAGCTTCGTGACCCTTATTTTAACCCTTGTGACCCTTAATTTTGTAATCCATAATATAACCCTTGTGAACCTTAATCTGACCCTTATTTTGATCCTCATGACCCTTAATCTGACCCTCGTGAACCTGACTCTGACCCTCATGACCCTTATTCTGAAACTCATGACCCCGATTCTGACCTTCAGACCTTTATTTTTACCCTCGTGACCCTTACCCTGACCCTTATGACCCTTGTTCTGACCTTCATGACTATTATTTTAAGCTTCGTGACCCTTGTGACCCTTAATTTTGGAGTATAATTTCCAGTACCAAAATTTTATCGCTCAAAGTCGATTTGGATTTTTATAATATACAGAAAAATAAGTGTATGCGATACAAGAGCATTTCTCCCACTTGTTTTCTCTCTGAACCATTGACTTATTTTCTCCTCTTCTTCTTCTAGATTTCCTCTTCAAGATTAAGAGGTTGTCAGGTCCTGCATTTAATTGATAAAGCACCTTCACCAGAAATATCAGGTTCAATTGTTATATTCTATGTACATAGATATGTACATAAATATATCTAGAGTTGAGTTACAACTGCAGAGTTACGTTTCGTCACATAATCTGAGTCATACATGTAATGGACAAAGCTTCATGTCTGAATTGACCGCATCCTGTCTCGTGGTTCCAATGCCGTTTACCTACGTATATATTGTAACAATAAGCTCTCTAGTGTCAGATACAATGAACGGAATTGGAGGATTGAGGCACGTGTAAACGATACGTGTGGTGATTCGTCTCGTTTTATGGAATCTTTGATGAGGGCTTTTCGAAGGATTTGGCGAGTCAACACCACGCGCACACCGGTTCATACCAGTTTTTTTCCAAATTATTATCCATTTGTCAACAAGGAAGATCAATTGGAAGATAAAATATTTGCATTAGTGCTAGAGACTCGGTCTTGATAAATTTTTATAGCATGTACGTTCCTCTTATTTAATCTCATGAAGATAATCAAGCCTGAGGCCACCTTAAAGTGGCTCTACTCTTATGATAAACTTGAAGATTATTAAAAACTGCACATAATTTTCGGTTACAGTACTTTTTATCACGGACAAAAATATCACGACAAAAAAATCACGTCAAAAATATCACAAACAAAAATATCATAAGCAAAAATATCACCGATAAGAATATCACAGCTGAAACATCACAAACAACAATATCACAAACGAATGGAACTCAGAAGAATGAAGGTCAGAAAGGAAGAAAGGCAGTGAGAAGAGGCCAAAAGGGTCAGAAGGGTTTTGAAATTAGAAAGAGGAAACAACAACAATCAATACCTCGCTCACCCACTTGAGTTTTCATGGAAATAATAGGTATTTCCTGAGTTATCTGATTGATACGTGAGGAGAAAGACCCGTCGGAATTAGAATTCAATTTTTATACAACGAGGAGGCTTAAAGGATTGTTTATGATCATTTGGACTGTGATATTTTTATTTGTGATCATTTGGCTGTGATCTTTTTGTTCGTGATATTTTTGATTGTGATATTTTTGGTTCATGATATTTTGGTTTGTGATATTTTTGCCGTGATTATTTTGATTGTGATAAAAAGGCCGTGATCGATTGGCCGGTCACCAAATTTTCAGGAAACTCGGTAGATTCGAAATTCGCATTTTTTCGGATTTAACGACTGTTCTGGTTTTTAAAGAGAAAATTTAAAAAAATCAGGATTTAACGCAACGTCTTACGTGAAAATCAATACTTCCATTGTTATTAAAAACTAAAATCCAATTTATTCAATTCAGATGTGAACAAATCGGGGAATTTTTTGACGTCTTATAGAAAATGATCGGCCGTTTTGTAAACAAATTAAGCAGTCATTTTTTAATGAAAAGTAAGAGTTTAAATAAATTAATTTGGATTATGTCAATGAGGCAGGAATTTCGTCACATTTTTCTCATGCATTTGAGACCTCAGAAAGTCTTAACTTGGGATTGTCAAAAATCTCAATTTGAAACTTTCAAAGGTTTCAATTTGAAATCATAAATCTCAAAACAAAATTTGTTTTTTTTTGGGTGTTTTATCTAATATTTAATCTAACTAAACCATTTTATATGTAATGTAATTTGTAATGTACTTTGGATTATATTGATTAGGCGTGAGATTTTTCACATTTTCCTCGTGCAATTTACGTGGAAAATTAGAAAGCTGAAAATTTTAAAAAATAAACGATGAATGATAATTAAACAAGTGCCAATATTTTTAGTGGCTCTACCCTTACGATAAATTTAAAGATTATTAAAAACTGCAGAGAATTTTCAGGAAACTCGGTAGATTCGGAATTCGTATTTTTTTGGATTTAACGACTGTTTTGGGTTTTTACAGAGAAAATTTTGAAAAATCGGGATTTAACGCAACGTCTTTCGTGCAAATCAACACTTCCATTGTTATTAAAGACTAAAATTCAATTTATTTAATTAGACGCGAACAAATCGGAGGATTTTTTGACACCTTATAGAAAATGTTCGACCGTTTTGTAAGCAAGTTTAATTATTTTTCTATGAAAAGAAAAGGTTTAAAAAAATATTACTATTTTACAACGTGTAATTTGGATTATATTATTGAGGCGTGAGATTTTTCACATTTTCCTCATGCAATTTACGTGGAAAATTAGAAAGCTGAAAATTTAAAAAACTAAACGATAAATGATAATTAAACAAGTGCCAATATTTTTTAGACAACTTGACCTTCTGAGATATTTTCTAGAGAAATGCCTCGACATGAATTTCCCAAGTTTTTTGTTGGATTATTTTAATGAAAAAAAAAATAGAGTTAAAAAAACTCAGGAAATTCAAATCGGAAAATTCTCTATAAAATTCTAGAAAATGTCTCGATATAAATATTTTATGTAAAATAAATTCTACTAAACATTTTTTATTGAAAAAAACACGCGCAGAACAACTGTAGAATTTACTAAAACTGATAAAATTTCTCATAGAACTTCAATAGAAATCTAATAGAATTTTCTATCAACTCCGCTAAGTTTTTCCATGACAGTTTTTCGTGCAAGAATATGATTCGTTGCGAATTAATCAACTCACCAAATTATAATATTAAAATATTATATTGCTAAAATAATATAAATATATTAATAATAATATTTAGAATTGTTGTTGACATTTCATGAGAATGATATTCTATTTATAATATATTTACCATTTTTGTGAAATATAGAATTTGAACATTTTGAAGTAATTCCAGGAATGATACACTATTTAAACCTCTCGAGCCATCTAACGAGTAGAACGAGAAGTATCTCGACGGAGCAATGACCAGAAGAGCAGAAATAATATCATTATAGTCTCACTGTTAGAAGAAATTGAAATTTCATATGCAAGCACGCACCAAAAAATTTAATAGAAAAACGTATCGAATTCGTTAGAAAATTCTATTGAATTTCTATTGAACTGTTCTATTAGTTTTTGGCCGATTCTATTGAAATGTTCAATAGAAAATATTCAGTAGAAAAAGTCAATCGAACTCAATTTTTCTATATAACTTATTCTTTTCATATATTTTCTATAGAATTTGCTCGACTCAAATTTTCTAAGTTTTTTCATTCTATTTTTTTTCTTCTCATCAAGAAAATCAAATGAAAAAACTTAGGAAATTTGAGCCGAGGAAATTCTATAGAAAATATCTCAATAGAATAAGTTATATAGAAAAATCGAATTCTGTTGACTTTTTCTATTGAATGTTTTCTATTGAACATTTCAATAGAATCGGCCAAAAACTAATAGAACAGTTCAATAGAAATTCAATAGAATTTTCTAACGAATTCGCTAGGTTTTTCTATCAAATTTTTTCGTCCGTGGGTGTGTAGTAATTTTCAGAGCATGAAACTCGATCTGAGGAGGGGAAGTCATGAAATTTCAAAATTTGGTTATAATGCAATGGAATTACAAATTTTTGAGCAGCCGGACACGCATGCAAAAATTTAATAAAAAACCTTAGCGAATTCGCTAGAAAATTATATTGAATTCTCCAGAAATTGTATGGGGACTCTATTAAAATTCTAGGGAATTCTCGTTAAAATTCTATATGTTTTTTGCGCAAATTCTATTAAATATTTGATAGGAAAAAGTCAGTAGATTTTGATTTTTCTGTTTGAATTTGACGCTTGAGATTTTTTCTATTAAAATTACTGGGCAGAAAGCAAAAAACAAATAGAATTTTAACGAGAATTCCCTACAATTTTGATAGAATACCTGGAGAATTCCAATAGAATTCTCTGACGAATTGGCAAAGTTTTTCTATTGAATTTTTTCATACGTGGGATTGTCAATTCCTCGTAAGTTTAAGACTATATTTACCCGAATTTTCCTGATTTAAATTAATTTTCATTGATGAGTTTTCCTCGGGAATTCGATTCTGTCGGAAAACAATATCTGCGAGCGCTCAAAAGTAGAGATATGAATATTTGGGAACCGAAAATTCAATTTGAAAAATCTCGAGAATTCCAATAGAATTCTCGAACAAATTGGCAAAGTTTTTCTATTGAATTTTTTCATTCGTGGGATTGTCAATTCCTCGCACGTTTAAGACTATATTTACCCGAATTTTCCTGATTTATATTAATTTTCATTGATGATTTTTCCTCGGGAATTCGATTCTGTCGGAAAAAAATATCTGCGAGCGCTCAATAGTAGAGATATGAATATTTGGGAACCGAAAATTCAATTCGAAAAATCTCCACCGGATGAATTTTTGAAATCGTTTTTAAAAGTATGATCACCCGTTTTCGCTTCTTAATTATATAAAATGGGGGGAGGGGTCCATTTTTAAGTTCATTCGTCAACCAAAAAAATTTGTAGTTTTTAAGGAGTCGACTTTATTGTAAAAAATTAGAACGAGTAAATTTCCACAAAACGAATGGAAAATTAATGTAATATTATCCAATATCTATAAATGAATGAATGAATATAAATAGATCTATTTCCAATCTACATAAATAAAAAATCGGTTCTTTAAGACCGAAACGCGACATTAATAAAATAAAAAATAAATTTTAAAAAATCGTGCAAGTTTTCTATTGAGGTAACACCAACCCAGAAATATTATCCAATATTTATAAATGAATGAATGAACATAAATCAATCTATTTCCAATCTTTATAAATAAAAAATCGATCCTTTAAGACCGAAACGCGAGATTAACAAAATACAAAATAAATTGAAAAAATCATGCAAATTCCCTATTAAGGTACAAAATAATCAATATTTTTTTCAATTTTCTTTCCTTTATTTGCACAAATTTTGCCAACGATCGTAATTAAAAATTACGATTAATTTAAGTAACTTCATATCAGTATCGAGACGTAATCAATGTCGCCTTGGGATTCTTATTAGAGAATGAACTACCGATGTTTATTTTACGATTTGTTTTGTCCTTCGGTCACAAATACAATAATTATTTTAGTTCACACAACGATAAACTGTGTATCACCGTATGATTTCATTGAACTTTTATTCATTCTGGGACTGTGTCTGTTCGCAGTATTGGTTTCTTCCATTTAAAACTGAAACATCATTTTAAATTCGAATGATGTGAGCATTCGAATTCATTTTCACTGTCTCCCATTTTCTCAAATTGTATTTTTTTTGTACTCTCGCACGTTCTCATACTTTTTTTCTCCACATACTCTTCAAGTTTTTAAACATTCCAACAACATTAGATGCCCACTCATAAGAAAATGGAGCATCTATAATGATGAATTATATTCTCAATAATTTTTAAATCGTATTCTTCTGGTATTTTCCATCTCTCGTATTTTCATGTAAATTTGTTTTCCTCTCATTACCGATTACAATAAATAACACTAATAATAATATTCAAATACGTTACCGCCCCGAACGCGTCGTCGATTTAATTTTAATATCGTTTTTATTTCCCTCATTCTTGTTCTCACTAAAATTCATATAATTTATCATCTTAAAATAATTAATAGGTATTACGATGTTCTTTATTTATCAATAAAATTGTTTAAACGGCGGCACACACAGGCGTGTACAGTCAATGCGTCTAATAAATACAAAGTCTCGATTCAATAAATAGCGATTAAATTAATGAACAGTAATTAAATGATACACTCGTCCCTTCAAATAGATTAATGTAAAGTGCCACTGGTACTCATAGATCAGGCATATTAATCAGGATTCTGTGAACAGTTTTACTCATTGCATTGCATTTTATCTTCACAAATCTCTTAGTTCATGTTTACATTTTTATTTTAAGAAAAAGTCGTGTTAGTGGAACGTATTTTCTCTCTCAAAAAGATAAATCATCGAAACAACCATTTTTTTTCACTCCTAAGTACCTATTTCAACTATATACGACTGTGTTTACTATATCACTATAGTATTTTATTATTCGGTACAATTAATTTAATCTTAAACATTTTTTAATTTTTTCTTTCATTATTTTTGTTCGTATGTATGATCGTAAGGACGATATATCATCACTATAGGCTTGCAGAATTTTTTTTTGACGTTGCACATTCTCATCTCTTCACAGATCTCCAGTGACTAAGCAAATGCCTCCTCAAAAGCGTGTTCTATACATATGTATTGTTTTTTTTAGATTTTTTAGGATTTTTTCTATTATATATATTTTTTTTCAATCATGTGTTGGACTTATCTGATCGTCGATCCCCTATTAAGACACGTACTATATCGCAGAGGTCACAAGTGCTTCCTCGTACATGAAAAAACTCAACAGAATTGTCGCAATTATTTGCTCATTTAGTCATGACACACATTGAAAGCTCTAAATCCATGAAATTTCGATCGTATCGATTTGAATCGCTGGCTCGTATTACCGAATTTTTGGAATCATGTGGAGTCGGAATGTTCTTTTAACAAATTGTTTGATTCTTCATCATTCTCATTTGCATCATTCGAATGAAAGTCGATGTAAAACGTCGTTAGTGTTGTGTAAATTATTCATTCCTCTTAAAATTATGAACGTAAAGCGTTAGCATTATTGATGTTACATCAGTGAATAGTATAAATTAACAGAAAATTCTTCATTCGAATAAATTAATGAAATAATAATGATGTACATAAAAAAATGTGTCTGTCGCCATGAAAAAATCAGATCACCATTCCAGAAGCCTGCGAGATTTCACTCCTCTGCGTCGACACTGCTTTTGTGCTTAATGTGAAATGATGAGTATTCTTTACTATTCCGAAGTGAATTGATAAATGTAACGGGTCTGTTTGAACACCTTGTTGGTCACGGAAAATATCAAGAGACATTTTTCACGGAAATTTCACATTTTCAAAAGAATTTTCTTGATATTTTCGTTTCTAATTCACCGCTTCACTGCAGAATTCTTTCCACTCGTTCTTTTTTCTGATGTTTTTTGTGCTCTCTGATGCTTATTATTTTAATTCATGATCATTTTAGGATGATAAAGACGCATTGAAAATTGTCGACGGAGAAGAACATTGAGATCAACGGCAGTGGATAACAATAATAATGGGGAGAGCCCATAAATGTTAATTCATATCAGTGCATCTGTTATCATCTCGTACAATCGCTCTTGAAAAATGCCATCTCCTTTCGGTTGAAATGGGGAAAGGTGGTCCGATTTTTCCGACACTTTATCATTTATTCTCAGTTTTTCTCATCCGGATCGAGTGATTTGTACGAGTTGAATCGTATTCATCGATGAGTCTGGTATATTCTGTTCTTTTGGTAACTGCTGTTATGAGTTTTTAAATTTTATTTTTACTTTTTTTTTGTTTGTTTAATGGGGATGTTTTATGGTCTTTCGCAATTGATGATTTATTAATGGAAAACTGTGTTTAATCCACCATCAACTCGAAGTGAACTGAACCACGCCTCTCGAAACGGTCGTGGATAATGTTTTTGGCCCACGCTTTGCACTCGATGTTGATTAGAACATTGCCTGTAACCAAGAGAGAAATTAATGACTATTTTTTTGCTGGAAATTGTTTTTTTCTTCAGAAAATCATTGAAGATACTTACGCTTTGGCGCCTCGAACCAAACAGCGACCAGCGGACTGAGATAACCCGGTCTGTTTGTGTACGGGAAATAGTAACCGGGGAATCCCGAGCTTGGTTTATACTGAATCGGTCCAATGTTCTCAACATCAGCGGGATTTTCACCCTCGCATGAAACCCAGATTGTTTCCAATTCCTTGGGATTTCGCATTTTTGCGGTTTTTATGCGATTTTGGAGATCCTGGGGCATGTTGGATGGAAGGTTATCTGTGTCGTTGAAAAATTGTGGTTGCCAACCAAAGATCTGAAAGGAAAACGCATGATGAATCCGTTAATTCGAAATTTTGGCACTGAAAAATTCTGTGGTAGAGGGCTATGACTGGTTCAGTCTACAAATAGACGAATAATTTGGAAAACTCATTTTCTCCTCCATTTTTCATAATTAAGGAGCGAAAATTAGTGATCGTAGAAAAAAATCAGAAGTGTTTAACTTTTTCCTATCGTATTGTGCAGAAAGACTGCCAGACATCAGCATAATCATAAATTTTAAATAAAGTTAAATTTTGAATATGTCAATTGGTTAATTTTACTCAACAGTTTTTGAATTATTAAATTAATTATCAATGAAATATTCAAATTGCGAATTATGTCATCAACTAACAATTGAGTTCAGAAGATAAACGATTATTTATCTAATCGAAAACTCGCATTATGAAATTTAAAATTATTTACTCAACAGTCAATTGACCATTCCCTATTGTCAATTACTTAATTGATAGTCAGTTGAAAATTTAGATTATCATTATTTTATTATTTTTCAAATTTAAATAAACCTTAATTATTGTAAGGTGCAATTTCCCTTAATATTAATAATCTAATGATTGAAGCCGGTCCCTGAAAATAAGAAAATTTCTATTGAATTGAAAGAAAATTCAATTGAATCAAATTTTTTCCCATCGTGAGAATATCAAAAGAATTTTTCTGTCGTTCAAAAGAAATTCCACAAATCAAGTTTTTCAACAAATTCTCGGTTGTGAAACATTTTGTAAATAATGGAAAAACAATGATGAAGAATGAATTTTTTTCTGTAATAAGAATGAGTTTTTGTATTAAGCCCAAGAATTCCTATACAACTAAACTCCAAAGAATAGATCATTTTAGAAATTCAGAAGTTGTTGATTTTTCCCTAGGAAATTGTACAGATAGGCTGTGAAACTTTTGAGAGAAATTGGTAAAAAAAACTAAAAGACATTGGGATAATCATAAATTTTCAACAAAGTTAAATTTTGAATAAGTCAATCGGTTAATATTACGCAACAGTTTTTACATTATTAAATTAATTATCAATTAAATATTCAAAGTCCCAATTATTTAATTAATCAATAATTGAGTTCAGAAGACTATTTGTCTAATCGAAAATCCTCTCTCAACAGTCAATTGACAATTTCATGTTGTGAATTATTTAATTCATAGTCAATTGAAAATTTATATTATCAATATTTTATTATTTTTCAAGTTTATATGAAGATAAGTCAACTTCTTTTAATATTAATAATCTAATGATTGACGCCGATCTCCTATCCATCCTATCCGCCGACTTTTTCCCATTTTTCAAATATATCTGGAACTACTAGGGGAGGGTGGGGTAAAACGGACACTTTAGACTTTTTAAAAATCATTCATAACTCAGAAACAAATTGATCAATTGAGCTCAGTTTAGGCTCGTCACAAAGGAAAAGAATTGTTCTTTGTATTGAAAAAAAAAATTATTAAATTTGACCAACATTTCACCCCCTCATTAACATTTAAAAAAAAGTCAAGTGTCCGTTTTACCCCAATCTCGTTTTACCCCAACCGTTCAAAAGAAATCCCACAAAAAAAGTCTTTCAACAAATTCTTGGTTGTGAAACATTTTGTAAATAACGGAAAAACAATAAAAAATCAAATTAGAATGATTCTAATTTTATGTTACCCAAAGGCAAAAAAAACGTAAAGAATCGTAAAGGATTTGAATGTCTCGGTCGGTAAAATTATTTAATTTAAGAATGATTCTAGGTACCTTATTGAGCTTCAAGAAAATACAAGGCTGAGACTTGTCATACATGTATCTGTTTTGTTTGATGCATGGTGAAAACTTCTCTAGTTCAACTATGCAGGCTTTTCCAGGAGGCGGTGGGTTTCCATATGAGCATAGAACCCTGTTCTCCTGAAACTGCGCAGCCAGACCAGTGGTGCCAGGCTTGGGGGGTTCGTACGCTGTCAATTAATGTCAATTAATTGTTGTATCATTAGAATTACAGTGGTTACAGTAAGTCTTCATCACCCAAGTCACGAGCTTTCAATTCAGTAACGAAACGGTGAAACGGCTCAAGTCAATTCTGATTATTGGCCAGTTTTCAACTTTTTGGAGAGTAGATTAAGTTCTACAAAAAAGATTTATACGAAAATTTCGGTATCTCCCTTAAATTCCAAGATATTCCTCACAAACTCAGCTAAGGGCTTAAGTGAACTTGAGGATATCCAAGTACTTTGGCTATTTTTTCTCCAGTGAAATGTTTTCTAGTTTTGTAGTCGAACATCAGAGCTTTTATTTGAGCCCCATTTGACCCTAAGTTTCCAAACATTTCACAATGATTTTATTATTTAAACTTTGCAGGTCTGAATTTGAATATCGATATTGAACCGTTAGAAAACATTTTAAAAATCTGAAAAAAAGTGAAAAGTGTAGGTTTAAAGGATGATTGATGAAATAATTAAAAAATTGCAATTTTTGAAATTACGAGCATTTTCTATAAATAATTATAAACCACCACATAATTTTTAATTATAAAAATCATTTCCCAAGGAACAATTTTTACCGATGTCATCTAAAACTCTTCCCAAAACCAGAAAATTTCCGGAAATTTACTGATAAATTGTTGGCTGGGTTGTTCGGAATCATGACAAATTTATTCATATTCAAAATTTTACCAATAATCGATTTCATGCCTAAAACAATAAGGTTTGCGGAAGTTTAAACAATTTCAACTATTTATTTATAAACAACGAATGTTTAAAAAAATAATAATTCTGCGCAAAATGTAATTTTAATGGCGTTGAATATTCATGATTTTTTCTAAATTTTTCTCCCGCAGTTTAATTGACAAATTTGATGATTGAAAATGGTTGAATCTATAGTGTGGTCTGTACCAAACTGTAAAAGATACTCTGTTGAAAATTTTTGTCTGAAATTTCCGTTACACCTTTCGAAAATTTTTATCGAATTTAAATAACACTGAAATTTCGTCATTTCAAGGAATTTCGTCATTCAAAATTCTGAATTTCGTGGAAAAATCGAAGAAAACTGTAAATTTCAGTTGCATTTTTCTCTGAAAATAAACAGAAAACCAGAAAATTCTAGTAAATATATTCTTGAGTTTCCAGAACAGTGACACTAAATGCGATTTAGGGGGGAAAAAATCATGAAATTTCGGATTTCACTGAAAATTCGATGTAATTTGGCACTGAACATTCATATTAGATTGGAAATTCAAAAAAATGAAGGAATTCTCGTCTTTATGCTACTTAAATTTCTGGAATTTTCAGTAAAACCTGAAATTCCATGATTTTTTTTCTCCAAAATCGCTTTTAGTGTCACTCCGGAAAATTAGTAGTCCATTGCAGTCAACTATCCATGAAATTTCATTTTTTTTTCTAACAGTGTACTTGGATATTCCTAACCCATTGAACAGCCTCACACTACCCCACTCTTCACCATCTTGAGGTAGTGTGAGTGCGCAGTCGGGCCTTTCTTACGGCGCTCCACTACAGTGAGGGGCTCCCCACTCTTCTCACACCGACACGTTTCGTCACTTGCACGGCTCAACGGGCTAAACTCTTTTACCGTTTCGCTACTGAATTCCATCCAAGAGGCATGACACGTCAGTCATCAAAAGTTTACAAAGGAAGGGGAGAAAAATGAACCATTTTATCGTGACTGCTGTTACGATCCGCAGCACTTACGAGCGTAATTAGAGTTTAATGCAATTAGCACTTCTTTTGTTAAGAAACATCAAGATTGCAAATGAATAATATTAATTACTCGGTTATCACGGTAATGAGTCGTGCTACATGGAGAGAAATATTCAGTAAAAATTGCGGAACAATTCACGTAATCAGCAATAGGGTATCGTTTTTTTTTTTTTTTAATTTTATTTATAGGGTATCGTTTAATGGCAATTTTTATAGGAATGGAAGAGAAGAAATCTGAAATGTTCAGTGAATTCTCACGTAATTTTTTCCGGAGGAGTAAAATCTTACAGGAACTTCCCGACTTTTTATGCCACCAAAATAAAAAATTCTTGAACGTTCAACACTTTTTATGAAGCTGGTGAGTTATTTCCACACGGAGAAAAATTTTTGATAAAAATTATCCTACCGTTCTATAAAAGTGTATCATGAGTCATCGTTTCCTCATTTCTATCCCGAAATTTAGTAAAAATTAATACATGATGATCAAATTTCATTCTACGTTAGAGAAATTTTATCCTGTGGAGTAAAAATTACTGCACCGATAGAATTTTCGTTGTTATCTACATTAAAATTATTGGACTGGAAGGGTAAAATTTATTACGCGTCAGGATAAAATTTTTCTAACGTAGAATAAAATTTCATCATCATATATTAATTTTTGCTAAATTTTGGAATAGAAATGAGGAAAGGATGACTCATGATACCCTTTTATAGATCGAAAGGATAATTTTTATCAAAAATTTCTCTCCGTGGACGTTCCGTTCCGTAAAATTTCTCAATCGTTGGGAAAAAATTACGGAACGACTTGTCCCCACAGCGGTCGGTCATCAGACCGGTGGTTAATTTTTACGAAACAAATCGTAGAATTTACGTGGCGATTCGTACAATTTCAGTTCCGACTCACACTTTTTTATTGAATTTTACTTCGCTCGCGGATTACCTTTCGAAGCGTAATGTTTACGTTTTTTTCTGGTGATTTTTACTGAATTTTTCTCTCCGTGTATGAAAAATCGTCAGGAACCCTTTTTTGAGCAGAAAGGCTTAGGACATTTAGTTTTAAAACATTTAGTTCAATTTTTAATAAAAATTGACTAGTTTTGTCGCCAAATCTATTCCATTCTCAAAACTATTGGGGCAAAATAGCTCGTCTCATTGAAGTTTCCAGTAAAAATTTCCTCGGGTTAAGAAAATACAAACATAATTTGCATTTTGCCCCAGCCTCTCCGCAAATCATCTTATTTTTTATAGGAAAAAATTATGAATTGTTACCTTCGAGAAATTTGTCGAGTGCCTCAGCCCAGAGAATGAAATTCCCCTTATCACTGGCTTTGTACCAAATGAGCGTACTCTCGACATTGCTGTCTGGTGGCAACGGCCGGAATCCAAGTCCTGGATTGTTGCCGATTAACGAGCGTTCCAATTGCCATTTTGGTTGCTGATAATCTAGGGTCTGGTAAAATACCGCCAGTAGTGCACCAAAAAATCCCGATAATACTCCATAGAAAATCACATAAAACAGCAGGATTTTAGCTGCAAAGTGAAACAAATGGATAATTGCATTTTTTATAAATGAGTATAGTTATTGTTTCTAATAAATTAGAAATTTGCTTCCAAATGGAAGCATTGTAATCGTCCAATTTTGACATTTTCTAGTTTTGGTTGGAAAGGATGTAAAGTAGAGGCTTCGTATAAGATACCTCTCTATAAGATACCTCGCGCTCCGAGCGCTCGAGGCCTACCCCCACTCTCGACTCTTCCATCGCCTTGTGAAAATGGCATTCTCTTCTTCTACTTTTTTATGTGATATACTGTCATCAATTTAAATGCCATCAAAATTTTGGCTAATAATTTCGTTCCGTCAAATGATTCTACATTCGGACAATCGTACGTAATATACAGTCGGATGTACAACGATGTAAAATACTAAACAGTGGGACAATTATGATACGCCGTCTAATTGGCCTGAATTGACCACCAAATGAAATGACATTTGTTGTCTCATGTCAATGCGCGAAACAATTCACGGATTCATGGTCGGAAAATTACGTTCAATCGATTTTTCTGCTCGCTAAATATAGATGATATCATAGGATTGCATTCCGATGTGATGAAGACAATAAATCCAAGCAGTCGCTACATATTTCGAAAACCGGTCGGTTGAGAGAAAAATAATGTCACAAAATCTGTTTTGTAAATTGAATTATCAGTAATGATAATTATAGAAAGGTCCTTTCAGATATTCTCCTAAAATTCCCCTTCTCGGAGATATTCACACAACAATTTGACGAGTCGTGTCCAACCGCAACATTTATCACTGTCTTAGTGTTAATTGTTAGGTCCGCACTCATTGACAGACAGTTCCACCATTTTTCACTCATGTTATTGCTTCCGAATGGAAGTTTTGTAATCATTGATTTTGACGATCTTCTAATTTTCCCTGGATATGACGTAGAATGTCATGAAACGTGAAGATGTTTTTAGAAAATGTGTGTATGTATGTCCGGATGTGTCTGCGAAGTTTTCGGGAAACTTTGATGAATCTTCACAGAAAAAAGGCTAAAGTTGAAGCTAAAAATCTGTATTTTCATCGTATAATTGGTATTACTTTGGGGCATTTCTATTTTTATTGATTTTTAACGCAATTTGTCATAAGAAGTTTGTGACTGGCCATCGCCCGAGAGCCTTCAGCCTGTGACAACAATTTCTCAAAAAACTTTTTCCTCAATATCTCGAAGACTGGTGTAGGCTACTTCAATATGTACGACGAGGAGTCTTCAAGTCTAGGGGAGGGTAGGGTAAAACGGACACTTTTGACTTTTTTTGAAATATTTATGACGTGTTGAATTGTTCTTGAAACGAAATGATTTTATTTTTCAATTGAAAAACAATGATTCCTCTTTGTGATGAGCTTGGACAGAGCTCAATTGATACATCTGTTTCTGACTTATGAATATTTTTAAAAAAGTCAAAAGTGTCCATTTTACCCTACCCTCCCCTATGGTATAAAGATTGCAAGCTCTCTAGAGAGAGCATTGTTACTGTCAACTGTATTAGAGCAAATCACTATCACCTTGGAGCCTTCTTGTATAGAATAGGTATCATTAACGACCCCAGTTGTCCATGTGGTGCAGAATCGCAAGATTTCGACCATATACTGTGGAAGTGCCCGAAGTACCACCAGCAGAGAATGAAATTAACCGAAAAGCTGATATCAAAGAACTGTCCCCCCCCCCCTTCACCACAAAAAAATTTCCGGAGACAACAGACTATAAATATGTAGAACAGATATGCAATTTCCTTAAAGAATGTGATTTAAAAGTGTAGAATTATTTTTAAAAAAGTTATTATGCTGGAAAGACGAAAAATTATAATGCTATAACTGTTATAGGCGAGGGGCTACTCCCAATATGATTGTAATAAGCGGCAGGGTAAATAATTCAATTCAGAGTTGAGCAGTTTAAACAATAAAAAAAAAATCTCGAAGACTATGTGACTGAATTAAATTTTTTTTGCGTTAAAATATTCCTTTTGAAAATATCTATCAAATCAAATCACAATATTGCTATGTGACTAGAGACAGTTTGGTAGGGGGAGTCGGGCAAAATGGGACGTTGGCAAGTAGTGAAGATTTATGTTTTTAATTCAATTGGAGGGTAAAATCGCTGAGAACCGCAAAATGGCCTGGAGGAGTAGGAGGAATTTTGATAATTATACTGGCAGTTGGAAAAATCATTTTGTTGGTCTTTTATAGTTGTCAATATGAAGATTATCAATGTCTTCATTTATTAGTGCAGATATTGATAATTGGGAAAGATCTCAACACGTCCCATTTTGCCCGACCGTCCCCTAATAATAATCGGAATTCTTCTTTTGTATGAGAAAATCGTTCTGTACACGATAACTCCCGAAAAAAATTAGAATGTTGAAATTTAGTGAAATGCAGGAAAAAATTTAATAGAAAAACCTATCGAATTCGTTAGAAAATTCTATTAGTTTTTAGCTGATTCTATTGACATGTTCAATAGAAAACATTCAATGAAAAAGTCAACAGAATTCCATTTTTCTACATAACTTATTCTTTTCATATATTTTCTATAGAATTTGCTCGACTCAAGTTTTTTTCATTCTATTTTTCTTTTCTTTTCATCAAGAAAATCAAACGAAAAAACTTAGAACATTTGAACCGAGGAAATTCTACAGAAAATATCTCAATAGAATAAGTTATATAGAAAAATTCTATTGACTTTTTCTCCTGAATATTTTCTATTGAAAATTTCAAGAGAATCGACCAAAAACAAATAGAACTGTTCAATAGAAATTCAATAGAAGTTTCTAACGAATTCGAAAGTTGATTGTCTCTCTCTTGTCTTTGGGATAACTTTTTTTTATTATTATTTGGGATAACTGCTTGTATGATTGATCCCTAATTATTAAACATAACAATATTCCCCACAAAAAAAAATTTCCAAAAATTCCCTTAAATATTCTGAAGACATTCGCAAAATAATATAAAACTCGATATCGAACATCTTCGCTTACCACGTCACTGTTATTGCTCGCATGACATAGATCATTCTACATTCTTTCGCGATGTATTCTTAGACCCTTCATAATTGCCAATTATTGAATACCTCCACCAAAATCTGCTACAAAAGGTGGAACGATTCACTTGCTGTTAACGAAGCTTCTCACTTATTAATTCTCACTTTTTTTAACTAGTTGAATAAATGGATTACCAACATGAAGCCGAAACTAGCGAAAGATTCGACAGCAGAAGGTGTGTCTTAGGCGAATCTAGGGGTGTACAAATGTTTTTAAATATTGTACAAACTTTTTCGCACTTAAAAAACATTTGTACATATCAGTAACGAAGTGGTAAAACGGTACAAGTCAGTTTTGGCTATTGACTCGTTTTCAATGAATATCTCGAAATCTAAGGGAGGTAGCGAAATTTTTGTTATAACCTTTTTTGTAGAGCCGATTGAGAGCTACAACAAATGTAATTGCGAAAATTTCGCTACCTCCCTTAGATTCGGAAATAATCCTCAAAAACTCAATTGGGAGATGAGTCGACTTATCTCCGTTTACCACTTCACTACTGATTTCATGATAGCTTTATCAATTTTGTGACATTTTTGTGACAGATTCTACGTGACCGTCGTATTCTATCTCAATACCGGAAATAATGTGACAGGGGAGGGCAAGACAAAATGGACCAGACGGACAAAATGGACCCCTACACTGTTAGAATTTTTTTGAAATGTAAGTAACAAATGCATTTGAATTTTCAATATTCGGAACTTGAATTCAATTTCAGACTCAATTGCTTATGGAATTCCTGATTCATCTTGGAAATTCAATAAAATTAAGTTTTTCATGATGAATGATCATTGAATTTTCAAAGACAATTTGGATTTGAAATCACACCTATCGCGAAAACTAAGCATTACAATTAATTGAATTTTCAAGAAATTAAAAATTCAGAAGAAAAATTGCCTGAATTTTCACGATTTTCAGTCATTTTCATTGTCGTATGAACCTGAGAAATCAAATTTCATTGAATATTCAAGAAAATTGACTGATTTATCAATAACAAAATCCATGGAAATTCCATATAAATTATTCGTTGTTGGAAATTTCAAGATTTTTTATTTGAAATTTCAAGAGTAATTTTCCAACAGTGTAGAGCGAAATGGACGCCCCATTTTTTCATTTATGAAATTTTCCGAAATTTTTGTGAACCCGTCTCTTCGCGATACTACCGGAGAGTGGATTCAGTGTCAGATGTGCCTAAGATGGACTCATTATATGTGTCAACTAATCGAGACGATTTTAAATTCGAGTGTGACGACTGCGCATAATGCTCAACATAAAAGAATTATTGTTGATATTTGGAAATGCATCCAATTATTGATTTGTTAATTTGATTATTCTATTATTTTTACGCACTGTTTAGATGAAAAAAAATCTTGCTGGGAGTTTAGAAGGTCGAAAATACCCAATGCTCTGCCCAATTTCTGAAATTTCCATTTATCGGAATTACTATAGAAATTACGGTTGTTCTTAATCACATTCCTGTTGATTCTCATTGTTTTCCGCAGTATTTATTATGTTTATTTCCACAATAAAGGACAAATAGTTGAGAAAATTATTATGAAAAAAAGCACGTAATTTTGTCCATTTTGCCCTACCTTCCCCTACTACTCAAATTATGACAAAAAAATGTGACTTCATACGACTGTCATATAACGGTCCTGAATTTGTCATGCCCTGTTAAAAATTTTCGTCTGAATTTTCCGTGGCAAATTCCGGAAATTTTTATCGTGTTCAAGTTCCACTGAAATTTCAGAAAATCTTGTCATTGAAAAATCAAATATTCCATTGATTTTCTGTTCAAGTGATCTGGAAATCAATAGAATACTTGATTTTTCAGTTCAGTTATTCTGTGATAATTCAGAAAAATCAGGACAATTCGGGGAAAATTGAAAATTCATGTAATTTCGTTTCTGAATATTCATGTTCCACTGAAAATTCAATCAACTTGTGAAATTTCCATTCCACTCGCACTGAAAACTCACGAATCTCCGTGAATTCCACTTGAAACTTGAAATTTTCTGATCATTTTTCCCTAAATCCGATTCAATGTCACTCTCATGAGATTTATTATAATATCTTCCATGAAATTTCAAAAAAATTCTAACAGTGTATAACGAAATAGCTATTTTCGTCACAAGGCCGAAAACAAATTTTCGGACGAGTTGCAGAACGAGGCGAAACCGAGGATTGCAATCACACGAGTCAGAAAATTTCTTTTCGGCCGAGTGACGAACATAATTTTATGTCATTGGGTCCGATAACCGCGATCTAACCGAGCGACGCGAAGAATATTGTATGTCACACGGCGATAAAAGTATTATCTGACGAATGTGATTGTAAGTGTGGCACACTTGGTAGCAGCATGAGATTCACAACCACAAGCTCCCAGATTGGAGCCCCGGCCGGGCCAAAAATTCCACGCCAATTTGTCATCACAAATTTCCACATAATATTCACTTGTAATACCACAAGAGCTTCAAAATTATCGGGTATTTTCCGATAGGTTCGTTGTAAACAAACGAAGGAGTCAAGTCTTTCAGGTTAAAAAATCACGAGTGCGAAGCACGAGTGATTTTTCTTGAAAAACTTGACGACTTCGTTTGTATGCAAGGAACCTTGAGGAAAATGCCCGATTAATTTTGAGGCTCGTATGGTATTCGGGTGATTTTTTTTCCAATCCAAATGTCGAGCAATATAATTGGACCATGAGACGAAACTCACAATTGAGGCACAAAAATTGTATAATTAACACAACGACACAATTGAATTCAATCTGTCAGTTTGACGAGGGGTTAATTCGACTGCATGGTGTTTTGTTTTTTATATAGCAACTACCAGAGAAAATTATCAAAAAATTATCAGTTGAAAATCCTGTAGCTTGTACCACGTGATTTCGAATGGGCCAATTATATTGCCCGATATTTGGGTTGGAAAAATAATTATCTGAAAATTTAACACAATTTTCAAACCGAATGTTCTACAGATTTTCCAAGAGAAAAAAACCCACTCCACATTCAACATTCCCTGGCTGAAGGCCCTTGGGCGATGGCTGCGTTGGCAAGTTAACCCTTGCAACGAAAAACCGGTGAAATTTGAAATTCTTTTTGTGATTATAATCCTCGCCTTCAGCTCGAATTATAAAGAATTATAAAGTCACATTCGTCAGATGATACTTTTATCGCTCGATGACATAATCTGCTATTTCTTCACAATGTCCGTAAACGGCGTTTGACGGGCCCAAAATGTTCTAATCTATGACAATGAATATTTTACTCAATATGTACCAAAAATTTGAAATGAAAAAATGGCTAGGAGCCAGATAGCTCAGTTAGAAAAGCACCCGATCCCTAAATATTTTCCAATATATCTTAAAATTGTTGTCAAAATAATAAAAAAGAACTGAAAAGTGAATTCGATATTAGATAATCAACAAACCTAGATGCTTATGACATATAATGCACCATCGACTAATAATCCAAATTCATGAAATCGGATTATATTAAAAAACAGAATTGTTTATTACTTTACAAAAAATTATATTATCTTTTTTCCTTTGTAATTTTTTTTATTTTATCATTTTCTTTAGTATTTCCTTTGTAATTATAAGAGCGCTTTTTTTAATCCTCCAAGTCCACTAACTCATATATATATTTTTTCTTTTTTTTTGAAAACTTTTTTTGAGCGCATGAAACAAAAAATATTATATGCCACTGAATGAAGCAAACAGAAATTTAATATTTTATTATGGAAACCGAAATAATACCATTACCATGTTTAAAACTCGAGAGTGACAAAGTGACCATAGTTTATAAAAAATTCGATATGAGACGTTAACTTTTTTTATAAACCTGTTTTTTTATGTAAATACCTCTAAATACCTGTAAATATCTTGTTGTATAATTGAATAAAAAGGAGAGCACCCGATGCATAATCAGAACACGGAGAGAAATGTTCATTAAAAATTACGGAACTCACAGTTCGCTCACCGATTACGGAATCACCTGAATTCCAAAAAACTGGCTCGTAATTATTGTTCCACACATTTTTCCGCAAATTTTGAAAAAAAAATCTTTTGCAGCTCAAAAATTGGAGGCCCTGGACTGTTTTTACATTTTAATCGTTTTCGGGCGAACGAACAATAAAAAATTTTTTTTGCACTAATTATTCATTTTCAGATCTATATAATCGATCGTCAACGTACCAAAAGTCTCACTCGAATGACCCACGACTCTAAAAATTCATGGTAGTCTCCCCTTAATGCGAACTCGTTATGTAAACTTCAATGTAGCTATTTTACGAATAGTGTGATAAAAAAAATATGACGGTGATTCCCACACCTCCATTCCCCCCCGAAAACCCGAAAAAACTGCCCCTTTGAGCCCCACCACTCCCCGCCCAAACTCGCCGGAATAATCAGCCCGGCAAAATTTCCCCGAAACTCCAAAACTTTTCCCAAAAAAAAACTTCGAGTTTTTCCCGTAATATCGACCCTCCCGGTGCATCAGGACTATTGATTTTTTCCACCATTCCATTTTCGCCCTCTCCAACGGCGGCAGCCGGGTAGATGCACCCCTCGAAGTGCCCGACAATTCCTAGAGCCTCAATACTACAACAATTTGTACGTGTTTTACGAACATAACGCGTAATGGCTGATGCAGCAGTGGAAACCGCCCGGTATGTGCCTAGTAGTCGTTACCGAGGGGAATATCGATTGCGCACTAATATCGAGGCCAGATTACGTCGACAAACTACTGAAACTAATGCATATTTCTGCTCCCTTTGTTCTCCAGAAGTGGTACCACTCGGAAGTACAAGGAAGAGGTGAAAAAATTTTTTTTTCAAATCACCGCGAGGGAATTAATTAATCCTGTGCAATAAATCCTCAGATCGAGGGTAAAACTCACCCCAACTGGAGCCAGTTCGTCCGAGAAACTGTCCCGTCTCGGAGTTGTACAAAAATGTAGAGAATGACTCCCATTTTCCAAGTTTAGGGGGTGGTGTGTAGTACTGATCGATTTTTTTATCCTCCATTGTTGCAACTTTTACTATTAAATATATGAATTTTAACAATTATTTAAAACTGATGGATCAACTTTAGTTATGTTAGAACAGAGTACGGTGATGGCTTCGTCTGGCTGGTGCTGGTGTGATCGACCAGCTACGGGTGGGCGAGGACACGAAAGAAGGAGGTCTGTGCCGCGCACTCTCGTATTACTCTGCTTGATGCTGCTGCGCTCCGGTCTTACTTACACAGAGGGATGAATATTGAGCGATCGTCTCCCCACCCCGCCCTTAGCGGTGTTACATATGTGCATGACTAGGTGGGGTAGTTGCGATGGTGGTGATGCACCCCCTTTTCAGTTCTCAGTTGCGGGTTTTAATGCGCAAACGCGGGGAAAACACGAGCCCTTTGGGAAGCCTTGTCCAATGGTGGTGGGGCTTCGGTACCCCTGCCCTAGGATTTCTCGGTCGGGTATAGGGGGTGACTACCACCTTCGATCCGAGGGGGTATATAGAATATCGCGCCCAGTTGGGGATTTTGCGAGACGGGTGTCGATGAGTTTACTGTCATCGACACCGGCCCACGGACGACAAAATTTAATAGGAAAACCTGTCGAATTCGTTAGAAAATTATATTGAATTTCTATTGAACTGTTTTATTCGGGTTTGGCCGATTCTACTGAAATGTTCAAGAGAAAATATTCAGTAGAAAAAGTCAATAGAATTCAATTTTTACGGATAACTTATTCTATTGAGATATTTTCTATAGAATTTCTTCGGCTTTAATTTTTTTTTTTTTTCATTTTTTTAATTTTTTTTTTCTATTTTTATTTTCTTCTCATCAAGAAAATTAAACGAAAAAACTTGGAAAATTTGAGTCGAGCAAATTCTATAGACAGTATATGAAAAGAATAAGTTATAGAAAAATGGAATTCTGTTGACTTTTTCTATTGAATCAGCCAAAAACTAATAGAAATTTAATAGAATTCTCTAACGAATTCGATAGGTTTTTCTATTGACTTTTTTCGTGCGTGCCTCTGGGCAAAAAAAAATAGTGGACAATTGCACCTTTTTTAGCGATGAGGAGAGTCGTTTCCGGAATGGGGTCTCTTTTTGGTTTCGAAAAGACGCGTTGAAAAGATCGCTCAAATTTGAGTTTCAGATTTTTTGAGTTATATCAACTAAAAAAAACATCCAAAAGGTCCGAATATGCCACTTTTAAACCCTGTCCGTATGTACGTGATAAAATTTTTCGTTAATTTCTCACAAATAAATCAACGGAATTCAGTAGCGAAGTGGTAAAAAGGTTTAAGTCGACTTATCTCTCAGTTGAGTTTTAAGAATTTAAGAATTTAGTGAGAAAATCTGCAAGCAACTAATTAACGGTCGAATAAATAGGCAATCCGTCGACGACCGCTGCTTGGAGAATAATGAGAAATGTCAAAGAGAGCAATTTTGATAATTTGTTGTATTTTGATTGTATCCAGTGGATTTTATATGATTTTATTATTTCGAAATGTCATTTTCATTATTTTGATAATAAAGTTTGTGTTGGATTGGAAAAATCTCAAGGACGACAATAACAAGGAGTCTAACCTGATAAGACCAGTTCTGAGGGATTTTTCTTTCTCTATTTAATTAATTAGAATGAGTAAAAAATGCAAAGGAATATAATTAGAGTCAAGATTTTATGTGATCATCGAAGCTCTCGTTAATTCCAAACAGAGATTATCGAACTAAAAGAAATGAAAATTCTGGTTGGATACCGGGAGTAAAAAGAGTAAAATTGCAATGCGAAGTAAAAATCGAGAATAAAATGAAAGACCCACGTATCGAATAATATTCAAAAATTAAATGTCGACAATAAAAAGAAATTTAACTGTTAATGAATCGATAAGCCTCAAAATGAGCAAAGATTAAAAATTTAAGAAATCAAAAAAGTTTCATTATAAAGTCGATTTTGACTATTGGCCAGTTTTTTACGAATATCTCGGAATGTAAAAGAGATAGAAAATTTTTCATCATAACCTTTTTTGTAGAGCCAATTAAGGGTCATAAAAAAGGTCATGAGAAAAATTTTGCTATCTCTCTTAGATTCCGAGATATTCACCAAAAACTCAACCCGGTTTGCCGCTTCGCTACTGATTTATATAAAACATATATGAAACATATAAAATATATAATTTCCAGAATATATATATATATATTTCTTCGTATAGGATGCTTGGAACACTTCTACATCATATTTAATTTTCATCGAAATCAAACAAAAACCGATTGAAATAGTATGGAACGCCCCTACTTTGAGATGTTGGGGCTGACATCACTCGTTATCGAGATGATTTTACTACAACAATATTGAATGGTGTCTATTGATTCTCATCGACCGTGGCCTTTCCTGCCCTCTAAAACACCCGGCTTATCGCCTGCCACTTGTGGTTCTCTTCAGAATTATTGAGATCAACTTAGTTGATTAATCGTGCACTTATAATTCGATAGAGTCGGAAAGGAATCTGGGGGAATCCCCAGTCTCTCATTCAGCCATTACACGATTAAAGTAGTATATAACAGTGTGATTTCTTAAAAACTTCATATATATATTTAAGGATAATCGGGCGAGCTGGGAGTGTTGGAAAAAAAGCAGCCATTTTTTTATTTTTTTTAACGTATTCTTTAAATGATGGAAAAGACGTGTGCAAAGTTTCAGACTGCTGGGGAGCATGGTTAATTTATTATGAATTTTTGAAAAACTAAAACCCAAGGAAAAAATGCAACCAAAGTCATAAAACTTTAGACACATTTAGAACATGTGATCAATGATTTTTTGAGTGAAAAAGATTGTCGCCTAGGAGCATTGTTTATTAATAATAGCGAAGAAAGTACTGAAAATGAAATTTCTGCGCACGCAGCCCAAAAGAGCAACAACGTCACAAGTACCGCTCGGGTGGGGGTAGCGCGGTCAATTTAAACGTCTCTTGAGAGAGAGCGATGAGGCGTTGTTGGAGCTCCCTCGAGCCAGTGGTACCAGCTCCTGGTGAAAAAAAAACTACCGACGATGTTGCCACTTTTTCGCATGGATTAATATTTTTTCATTTATTAAAAAAAAACAATCTGAAAACCATTCAATGCGTGGAACAGATACAAATAGATTTAATTAGCTTCAAAAATAATTTTCACCGGAGATACTCCCTAATATTGCCTGAATTTTGAATCCGAATGGGAAAAATTTTTTTGTTCAGCGATTGGTCTTCTGCAGGAAAATAATAGAAACCCCTCCGCCTCACCTCCAAAATTTCCTCCTCACCCGATTATCCTTAAAGTAGTATATAACAGGTGTGGTTTCTTAGAAACTTCATTTATATATTCAGAAATTTTCTTCTACAGATAAATAAACTGCACTCATGAAGTGTGCATATAGCACACGAAACGTTTGTAAAATTAAAAAATAGGTTTTTTCATTGTTGAAATTCGTTTGGGCCATATTCAGGTCAGCAGCAATTTTTCATTATAAATTTATTAATTGCACTACGTTTCGAATGCTCAAGGCAGTCCTCTTCAGGGGCATAATTTATTCTGGAATGAATGACAAAATAATTTTAAAAGATTGCACAATCACTTGACTATTGTTAAAAAGTAAACTGTGTCCTAATAATCGTAACTTCTTACCAAACATCACAACTAATCAATAAGAAAATCCAACAACTCAAAACCAATGGTCGAGAACCACAATTTCCTTTATAAGTTTATTTATTTTTCACGTTGAAAGTTTTTTTTTACTAATTTGTGGCCGTAAATTGGCTGAAAAGCGTTGTTCAATAAAAAAATTGAAGTAATGGAAAATTTTTAATTGTTAGTTAATAAATGAAATTCCGAATTTTTCTCGCAATAATGTTGTGTCGAAATTATGTAAAAAAATCTTGTGTAATTTTCTTTGAACAAATATATAAATATATTATATTTGTTCATTATTATATTATTGTGAATGCCATTATTATTATCATATGTAGAAAATCAATTAAAAAAATATATAAGATAGTTTGAAAAACTGAAACAATATTTTCATTTTTTTTTTAAGATGAAAATATTTTTTCTAGGATTACCACTCCATCAATGACTCCCCAATTGTTTCTTGTCTTCATTCTCATCTGTATGTAGTCGACTGATCGGTGACTGGGCCTTTTCACTAGCTCCCAGCTTTTAATATCATTTCTTGACGGAAATAACCGCATGATTGCTGCATCTAGAGAGCACCCTCGCGTCGTTGACACAATTCTCGACGTTTTTGATACATGATCATTAAAAATGTGAATAGAAAGATGAAGAGATGAGGAAAGAGACAAGTCAGTTATTGATTTTGAGGTTTTTTAAAATTTTTATTCTTTTTTTATTACAGGAGATTAAAATATTTAAGTTCTTTTTGGATTTTTTTATTTCATTTTTTTTGTTTCTTAATTTTTTTTCTCTTTAGATATAACAGCATTTACAAATATATTTCAATATTTTCACCTAATATCGTGTGTATATACACATCACATATTTTCATTTTCTTATGCAAATCATTTGTTTCGTTTTTATTTGCCGTTTTTATGTACATGACCTACAGCTTTTATTTACTTATGTTCACCAGATTTGATGTTCAACGTAATTTAGTCAGATTTAAACAATTGATATTTGTTATTTTGCATTCTTATGAAAAAAAAGGAGAACAAACGTATAGTACAATTGTAGAAAAAAACTACTTGACTTCTGTTTTTTGAATTGTCACAAATTTCCAACTTATTTACTACAATTTCTAATATCGTGCATTCCCATTCTATTCTTTACTCTCACATTCTCTCACATTTTCCTCATTCCCTTGGTAATTTTTTTTTGAAATTTTTATAAGGGAAAAAATTCACAAAACATTGTAAAACCCAATGAATAATGACAATTGCATAACAATTGAATTAAAACAGTAAAATTGGATCAGAGGATCGTAAGTTATATTGTCTTCTTGGAGCCTCTCGGACGCTTCGCAATACATTTTTCTTACACATTTCAAGGCTGTAACGAAGCTGTGAAGAACAGAATATGAATTCTATCATTTTATACGAATTAATTTACGAATGAGTCAGAAACTCCGGTCGGGAATAGACTTGGAGAAATATTTCTGTGGGATTATGGTAAACATTTCCTACATCTCCTCTGTCCCAATGCATTCGTAAACCAATCCCAAATCAGTACTGAAGCGGTAAAACGATTTAAGGAAAGTTAAAAATAACTTTTTCGTTTTTTCAAGAAAAAATAATTAAAAATACTGTTTTCTGCGTGATTTTTCCTCGGGAATGTGATTTTGTCGATTGAAATTGTGTCCGGTGGTTCGAAATTAGGGATTCAATTTTTTTTTAATCGAAAAGTCAACAAAAATCCCTAATGATTTTTTTTATTAATTAATTTCATTCACTGTGTTTGGATACATGATATCTGTTTTCAGAGGGAGAAATCCTGATAATACAAATGTATAACGAATTTTTTAAATAGTTTTTTGAATATGATCACAAATTTTTGTTTTTTAATTATAAAAAATTCGAGAGAAGATGCAGTTTGAAATTTATTCGTTCATCAAAATTTCTATTAATGTCTCGAGAAAAAAAATTCTTGTCAAAATGTTATGTGTAAAGCTCAGTTATTAATTTTCATACTATACTCATAAAAAATTATAGGATATAATCGATCGATTAAAAATTACGACGTTTTTGGTTGACCAATAAACTTAAACATGTATTGTCATTTTATATTTGTGATATTCAAAAAACTATTTTTTAAAAAATTGAGGATTTTTAAAAATTGATTTTTTGATTCAAAAAAATTTGAATCATCAATTTCAACTCATTGGAGACAAATTTGATCTACAAAATCGGATTCCTGAGGAAAAATCACGTGAAAAATGCTATTTCAATTTTTTTTCTCGAAAAACCAAAAAATTGCTTCTCGGTGTAAACCTCCTCTTAGTTTTCGAGGAATATCTTCTAATCCAAGAGAGATAACGAAATTTTTGTCATAACCTTTTTTGTAGCCCTCAATTTTCCTTACAAAAAAGATTCTTACAAAACTTTTGCTATCTCCCTTAGATTCCGAGATATTCACTAAAAACTGACGAATAATCAAAATCGACTTGAACCGTTTCACCGCTTCACTTCTGAACTGAGTTCTGGGCTCATCTTTGCTCTCACCCCTCCCCTACTAACTTTACTGAGACATAAAAAACAAACGAAAAAAAAAAAACGCGTACTGATTAATAAACAATAAGTAGTCACCAGACTCAACTCAATTTCATGATTCAATAACATCTCACAGAGATCCTTTCAATTGATGACTACAAAAAAAACATAATTTACGTGGGACTAAACATTTCGTTTTCATCAGTAAGTCACTGGTGCCAATGGAAATATATACTCATAAATAATATCAATCATCAACCATTAAAAGGGGATTCACCATGAATCATTTAAAACGTACAGAGTGGAACTCAGAATTAAAAAATATATATATTGCAGCCTTTTTCCCCTTGCTTTTCTGAAATTCTCTATTCATCTAGACTTCAGAAAATTCGTTATGAAAAGGAAAGAATCGCCTGAAAAAATATCAATTCATCTGCCTCGTGCGCCCAATTAAAAAAAAAAGAAACATATAATTTAGCTGCCGCAGAAAAATTCATTGAGTTGGCGTGCAGTTTCAATTAATTTCTCTCATGCAGTGGACTGTCTCTACCTAACAAGCACATTGCACATTTTATGTTTTTCCCATCTCGCTTTTGGATACAATATTTAATTTTTATGGTAATATATAGTTTTGAAATTGTTTTACGTATTTTTCTCCCCCACCGGAGGAAAAGAAAAACTTTTCACACGTCATTTTTACATTTTGTAAAAATTTTTTAGACTCTTTTATTTAGACTTCTGTAGATTCTTCGCTTCTTATTGTTAGATCCAATGCGATTTATTACAACTGGAGAACTACGGCAGCTATTTTGATAGTAGAACACTTATGGTCGTTTTTTCGTCTAATTTACTCAACGAATATTTTTTTTACAGAATCTTCATTTATTTCTGTACTGACGTAGCAAAACGTAATAAGTCGATTTTGGCGAATGTCGAAAAACCTTTCTATAAAAGTTCTTATGAAAAAGGCCCTGTTGTAGGTCAGGAATCAGCAAATTTAATAGAAAAACCTAGCGTTTCTTCTAAAGAATTTTAGAGAATTTCTGTTGGACTTTAGAAGAATTCTACTGAATAGTTATAGTTTTGTTGTTATTGAATAATTATATTCTGTTGAGAATTATGCAACTTTGTTATATCAATATCTATAACCTTTCAGTATATAAAAGTCAAAAGATGTTGATTTTTTGTATAAGTCAAACAAACAAAAAGATAGCAGAAGAAAAAACTTGGAAAATTTATGCTCAAGAATTGCTGTAGAAAATTAGGGACTTGATTATTACCTATGGACTTTTTCCGACTAAATATCTCTTTGAAAAATGACACGAAAAAGTTGCATAATTACAAATTATTCTGAAAATTGTCCTCTTATATGCCACGAATGGAAAAATTGAAGAAAAAAACCCAGCGCTTCCTCGAAAGCATTTTGTAGAATTTCTATTGGAATTTTATAACCATTCTAATGAATAATTATATTTTAGTATAATTTATTATAATTATTATTATAATAAATTATTATTATATTCATTATAATTATATCCCAATTCCATTCAGAACTGCGCATTTTTGCAATATCAATATTTATTAACTTTTTATTATGTAAAAAAGCCAAAAGATATTGATTTTCTTATAATTCATTCCATTGGGATTTTTTATGTGAGAATTCTCAGACATGAATTTTCCAAGTTTTCTTTTCCCGGATTTCGTTGCAAAAAACAAACAAAAAGACAACAGAAAAAATTTGGAAAATTTATGCTCAACAATTGTTATAGAAAAGTGAAAACCTATGATTTTTTTTCTACTAAATATCTCTTTGAAAAATCATACGAAAAAGTTGCAAAATCTCCAAAAAATAAATAGAATTTCTTAAAGAAAGCGGAGGTTTTCTATCAAATTCTGTCATAAGTGATTGAATTCTCATAATCAGTCACCAGAGAGATCAATAAGAAGTGAAATTCCAAAGAGAAATAGGTGCATTTCAGGTCAAACTTTAACCGCCACCTGTTCCAAAGTTATGCTGAACCAAATGTAATAATTCGAATTATTACGTTTCCCACCTCCAATACAGATTCTCTCTGGCCAAGAATTTACTGAGTTCGAGAGAAGCCGATGCTCTTGCTGTCCTGTTACCATTTTTTTTTTCAATTTACAATATTTTATATTTTTTTTTGTTTTTCATTTTCGTAATAAACCTCGAGTACTAATTAATTAATTGAAAAGAGCGATATAAATAAAATGTGATCGAAAAAAAAACGAAAATTACGTAGTAATATTCACGGTATTTCGTACTCTGTACACGACTAATTAATAAATATGTATACATATATTAAATATCATAAATATATCGTATATATGTATAGATATTTTCTAAGATTCATAATAATATTAATAACAATTACAATGAGGGTCATAAATAGTAACTTGTAAAACGTGTACCTGGTAGAGTTAATTGTGATAGATCAGCATTTAAAAAATCTCTCTCGACGATGTATTGTTGATTGTAGGGTATTTCAACGAGTAATTGCAGATAGAGTCTGCAATGCGGCCGATTAGGGTGGAATTTTGATTTAATATCGTGATGTAGTGTTGCCAATGTGGCTTGGGTCGTTGTTATGCTTTTAATCGTCCCATTACGGTTCAGAGATCACTTGTCGTTCGGACAATCACCTGGTTGCTTGGCTGTTGAATAATCTAATCGATATGGCGCTGAAATTAATTGAGAAATTTATTAGATTAAGGCGAGAGCTAATGATCGGTGGAGTGTGTACTCTCAATGATGTCAGGGAAATTTTTGGTAGCGAAGTGGTAAAACGGTTCAAATCAATGTTGACTATTGGCCAGTTTTCAATGAATATCTCGGAATCTAAGGGAGATAGCGAAATTTTTGTTATAACCTTTTTTGTAGAGCCGATTGAGAGCTACAACAAAGGTAATTACGAAAATTTCGCTATCTCCCCTAGATTCGGAAATAATCCTCAAAAACTCAATTGGGAGATAAGTCGACTTATCTCCGTTTACCACTTCACTACTGATTTCATGATAGCTTTATCAATTTTGTGACATTTTTGTGACAGATTCTACGTGACCGTCGTATCCTATCTAAATACCGGAAATAATGTGACAGGGGAGGGCAAGACAAAATGGACTAGACGGGCAAAATAGACCCCTACACTGTTAGAATTTTTTTGAAATTTAAGTAACAAATGCATTTGAATTTTCAATATTCGGAACTTGAATTCAATTTCAGACTCAATTGCTTATGGAATTCCTGATTCATCTTGGAAATTCAATAAAATTAAGTTTTTCATGATGAATGATCATTGAATTTTCAAAGACAATTTGGATTTTCACACCTATCGCGAAAACTAAGCATTACAATCGATTGAATTTTCAAGAGATTAAAAATTCAGAGGAAAAGTTGCCTGAATTTTCACGATTTTCAGTCATTTTCATTGTCGTATAAACCTGAGAAATCAAATTTCATTGAATATTCAAGAAAATTGACTGATTTATCAATAACAAGATCCATGGAAATTCCATATAAATTATTCGTTGTTGGAAATTTCAAGATTTTTTATTTGAAATTTCAAGAGTAATTTTCCAACAGTGTAGAGCATGATTCGACAGCAGAAGATATGACCGTTATGACGGATATTGACCCGTTTTCAATGAATATCTCGGAATCTAAGGGAGATAGCGAAATTTTTGTTATAACCTTTTTTGTAGAGCCGACTGAGAGCTACAACAAAGGTAATTACGAAAATTTCGCTATCTCCCCTAGATTCGTAAATATTTCTCAAAAACTCAACTGGGAGATGAGTCGACTTGAACTGTTTTACCACTTCCCTACTGAATTGTTTATAATCATTCTCATTGCGAAAAGCAATACGACCGATGAGAATCACATGTCCTAATTTATCAACTGTGAACTTTCCCGATTACAATAAATTATTTGCTCATGTTCTAATTGCTATGCTCACTGAATAAGATTTTAATCACAATTACAATTCAATTCCTTCTAGAACACACTTTAGAGTGTGAATTTCTGGAATTCAATGTTTGTCGATACTCTTATGCGTTATTTGTCTCATTTCATTTTTCATTTTTTCCACCAATTGTAAGCTTCCGAATGGATCTGTAGTTCTCACATTTTCTGAAGTGTTCTGGAAAATTCGAGAAATTTTCTCCAAAATTCGAAAAACTTCTCACATTTTGCAGAAAAATCGAGAAATTTCTCGAGTCTCCTAGAAAATTTAAAAGATTTCTCAACTTTTCTAGAAAATTCGTAATCTCACATTTTCTAGAAAAATCGAGAAATGTCTCGAGTCTCCTAGAAAATCCGAGTACTTCCTGAATTTTTCTAAAACATTCGCGAAATTTCCCTATTTTTCTGGGAAATTCGAGGAACTTCTCAAGTTTTTCCGAAAATTCGAACAATTTCTCACAATTTCTAGAAAACCGAGAAATTTCTCGAGTCTTCTAGAAAATTCGAATAATTTCTGGAGTTTTATAGAAAATTCACGAAAATTCGAGAAAATTCTCAAGTTTTTTAAAGAGTCCAAGAGAGTCCTTGAGTTTTCAAGTGAATTCAAAAAACTCCTCAAGTCTCATTGACTTTAACTTATCATAAATAATATTTCCTTCAATGTGATATCATTCATTCATTAAGAAATGAATGAAAAAAACAATAATCATCATCATCATCATATTAATCATTATATCAATGATCCCATTGATCATCATATCAATATGATCACCAATATGATCATATTCTACACCAATTTCAACTAGTTTCACAATGAGGCGCCTCATGTGGCTAGTATGCAATAAATTAATCCTACTACTACAACATTTTCATCATGTTAATCGAAACAGTTTAATTATCTGTGAACCCAGCTGCCCACCTCTCTTCGTAAGATCCTCCATGGTCTGATCCTTGCAGTCCCCAGGATGATGCCCGTTGCTCCCGCAATTATAACACGAGACCTTGTTTTGTTGGACGGTGGCCGTGAACGGTACAACAGGGGCAGGTGGCATGTAACTCTGCTGCGTGGGCGAGGGCACAACGACAGTGACCGTCGAAGGTGGCATAGTGGCAGGTGGTGGAGTGCCACCAGTGCTAGGCGGGGGATAAGGGAACATGATCTCCCCATTGGGCTGAAAGCCGCCAGGATAGCTAGGCCTGTACCCCGAGAAGCTCGGATACATCCCAGTGTTAGGCCTCAACGAGACATGCCCATGTGGAAGGAACGTCATCTGCGAGTGTCCAGAGACCGGAAAAGCTGAGACACAGGGTGCCATGTTGACAGCAGGTGCTCCATTCATCATGTGGCTCTTGTGTCTCATCATGTGGCCCTTCCTGTGTTTAGGTCTCTCACTCATCTGCTGAATATTCGGCATGGCTCCACCCTGGTGCGTCATAATGGAGCCCTGACTGTGCTCCCCAGGATTGTAGCCATCACTGCTGACTGGTGTCGTTGTCGTTGCTGTTGACGTAGTCATCACAGACGCCGGCACAATCCCCTGAGCCCCGAGGGTCGACGACGAGGATATTGTCGCGCCCGGTGTCACCGAGGATGTTGTACTCGTCCCTGTGGACGTCGGAGAGCTCATGACACTCGTCGTTGTGTTGGGATTGATCCAGGGAGCTGCTGGAGGTGTTTCTGGGGGCGATCTGCTGCCTGTGCTGTCTGAACTACTGCTCTGCGAGCCCTGGCGACTGCTGTCGTCCAGTCTCAACGTCTGCAGGTGTGTCAGACAGTAAACGTGCTGAGATGGACATCTGGCGAAACGTGTCTGCATTCCAGAGACTGGAAAACAGGCGTAACAGGGGGTCTGCGTTGGGTAGAGAGTCGGGGGTGGTGTTGTGTACATCTGGGGTATCTGGGTGGGGTCCAGGGGGGGCATTGTGGGGTATCTCCTCATACCTCCGATGGTGTGGTTGTTGTGGTGGTGGTGGTGGTGGAGCATTGGTTGGTAGAGCTCGGGGATCGGTTGGGGGACTGGGGATGGCTTCATGGCACTGGTGTCGTTCAACTGGTCATTTTGTTGGACTACTTCGCTGTCTGGCGGCGGCAGGGGCGAGGGGGGAGGGTGGTGGAGGGGAAGGGAGGAGTCGGGCTTCTTATCGAGGGCTGGGGGCTGGCTCGAGAGACCGTTGGTCGTTTGACTTCTCACGATGTTGCGGAGTTGGCCGACTGCGTTCGGCGTCAGACCGAGGTCCCGCAGGTCCTCGTCACTCAATCTTCTGATCTGGTTTTTGGAAGAGGAATTATGTTAATCGGGTGATGAAAGGAAACTTCCAAAGGGATTCCTTAAAAATTCGGAAAATTTCAGGAATTTTTTAAGGAACTCCTTGACAATTCGGAGGAATCTTTAATTCCAGGAGAATTTCTCGGAATTTCCCGAATTTTTTCGCAACTTTCACGGAGTAATTTCACTGAAATTTACAATTCCCGCGGATTTTTCCATTAAATTGTGGATTTTCAATTACAAAATTCGGTGAAATTTCAATGGAAATGTTGCTTGATACAAATTTCCAACACTCTTACCGCCAATTTCAGTGATAAATTTTTAACAGTTTAAAGCAAAATATCGTATGTGTCAAAACGAGTGAAGTAATTCTATTGTGTGAAATAAGTCATTTTGGCGAGGAAATACTCTGTCGCTGCTAAAGTCTGCTAACAATTCCGAGAGGAAGCACTAGAAATGTTCTTTGCAGAATAAAAAAAAATTAAAATAATCGCTCCTAATTTTTTTCTGTAACCGCTCATCACCGAGACATTTTGGCCACGAACGATATGAATTATGTAAACTTGAACTGTTTACCACCTCTCTCCTGCATTTGAATTATTAATTCCATGCAAAAAACACTCTCTGTGAATATGGATGCAAGATTTTAAGCTCCTTAAATTCATAATTATTCTGTTCGTAAGATGCTCAAGCAACTTCGGGTGCTCATGAATTGATTTTCATGATTAATTCGGGGGAACAGTGAAAAACAAAAGACGAGTTCAAGATTCTCATCCACATTATTTCGTCAAGATGTCTGAAACTAGAGGGCCTCAGGAATTCTATACAAATCATTCTATTGAGATATTTCTACAGAAATTCCTCAACCCAAATTTTCCAAGTTTTTTGTCTGATTCTTTCATAAGTGGAGAATAAAAAATCAGTGAAAAAAACTTGGAAAATTTATGTCGAAGAATTTATGTAGAAAATGTCTCACAAGAAAGATTAAATTCTTCTGATTTTTTCAATAAAACCGTTTTTTCTCGAATTTTTTTTGAAAAAAGGCGCAGAAAGCTGCAGAATTTTTCGAAAGAATTTCAATAGAAATTCAATAGAATTTTCAAGCGAATTCACTAGTTTTTTCTTTCAAATTTATTCATGCGTGCACGATTTGAGTCAAATATTTCGCAGAAGAGTAATTCATGTTTGAAACTTTAGTATGTCCAAACGAAACAATTTCTATATGAGCAGATCCACGCCAAATTACCAGACCAAAGAATTCGATGCTGAAAATTTTCGTCTCATTTTGTTTCAGACAAAATGTCTATTAGACAGAAATTAAAAAAAAAAGTTGAAAAATATTGATAATTGAGGCAGTTATGATTTTTTGAAAATTTGGAGTTGTTTTCAATGATATCTGTTTGTTCTAAATTGACCCCAATATCTCTATCAAATCACCCTTTGGCACACTCAAAGAACATGAAAAACCCTTCAAAATGAGACATCACACACAACATTATCTTCAGTTTGGCGAGGTTTATACCAGAAAACGTTTTTTTCTCAATCGTTAATTACTCAAAAATCTAATTTTTAAGAAATCTGAAAAAAAAATTAGAAAGAGTACTTTTGCAAGAAGAGTGATGGAATAATTTTAAAAATACAATTTTTGAAAATTATAAACATATTCTGTAAATAATTCATAAACAATCAATTTTTCATCATATAAATCGTTTGTCTGGACTCGTAAAAAATTGATTCATGTTCAGAATTTTACTAGAAACAGATTTTATACTTAAAAAAAAATTTTTTTCGAAAGTTTAAACAATTTAAATTATTTATTTATAAATGAATTTCTAAAAAAATAATAATTCTGTGCAAAATGTAATCTGAGTGAAGCTGAATTTTCATGATTTTTTTCAAATTTTTCTTACGCAATTTAATTGACAAATGTAATGATTGAAAATAATTATGATACTTGGATATCCGTAAGGATATCTAAATACTTCGGCGATTTTTTTTGTAAAATGCTTTTCTATTTTTGTAACCGAACATCAGAGCTTTCATTTGAGCCCCACTTGACCCTAAGTTTCCGGACATTTTACAATGATTTTACTCGATATTGAACTGTTAAAAAACATTTTAAAAATCTAAAAAAAAATGAGAAAATTTACTTTTGCAAGAAGAGCGATGGAATAATTTTAAAAATACAATTTTAAAAAATTATAAACATTTTCTGTAAATAATTCATAAACAATCAATTTTCCATCATATAAATCACTTGTTTGGACTCGTAAAAAATGTATTCATGTTCAGAATTTTACTAAAAACCGATTTTATGCCTAAAAAGATAAATTTTCCGATAGTTTAAATTTCAATTATTTATTTATAATCAATAAATGTCTGAAAAAATAATAATTCAGTGCAAAATCTAATTAGAATGAAGCTGAATATTCATGATTTCCTTCAAATTGTTCTCACGCAATTTAATAAACAAATTTAATAATTGAAAATGTATGAATCTGCAGTGTGATCTGTACCAAACTATAAAAAATACTCAGATATCCTCAATCACTATAAAAAAACCATTACCTCTTCACGAGAATAATTAGGAAGATTCCCCTTGAAATTCGGCAGATCCTTTCCGCTTTCCCTGACAGAGTCCCCAGAGACAGAGGGTCGCAACCGTGGAGGTGGTGGTTGTTTACTAGCCTTATTATCAATACTACTTGCTGTAGCAACATTGACACTATCACTGCTGTTGTGCCTCGAGTAAGTCATGGAGGACTCTCTCGTGGGTACCCTCTGACTAGGAGCACTCCTGTTGGACCCCAAATGTCCCCCACTGTTTCCCGAGTTCGAGACGACATTTGATTGACTGCTGGACGACGAAGTGGCCATTGGGCTCGGCATCTGTGGACTCGAAATGTCCTTTCTCTCCTCAAAAGTCCACCTCTGAGCATTGGTATTATTCCTCCTGCTCATGGGGGAGTTACTTCGACTCGGAGATCTCGATTGTGACGGTGAGGACTGTCTGGAGACCATCGGGGACGTCGGATACCCTGGTATCTCGCCAGGATACATCATTTGATTCATTGGAGTCATCATCACAGTCTGATTTTGCCAGGGAGCCATTGGACTCACTGCTGAGGGAAAACCTAGGGGCAAATACTGGGGAGTCGATGCTCCCATCGACATTTGATCACTGCCCGGAGGCATACAAAGCCCTGGAGGTGGCATTGTTATTCCAGGAGGCACTCCACCCATCATTGGTGGCCTCATCTGAACGTCTGGCAGATACTGTTGCAGGGGAGATGGAGGCATCACACAATTTGCTGGCATTTCAACACCTCCCTCCAGGCGATCGTTGGGTGCTATACTTGGTGCCTGAATCAAACGAAATATTTTGGTAGCATGAATATTAAGGCACACGTGTATTATCTTTCGAACGTGATCTTGATTTTTTTTACGTTGATAATTCAGTAGCGAAGTGGTCAAACGGTTCAAGTCGACTTAGCTCTTAGCTGAGTTTTCGAAGAATATCTCAAAATCTAAAGGAGATAGCGAAATTTTCGTGAATATCTTTTTTGAAGCTCTTAATGTGCTCTACCGAAAAGGTCATCACAAAAATTTTACTGTCTGCCTTGGATTGCGAGATATTCATTGAAAACTCATGAGTAGTCAAAATCGACTTCAACCGTTTGACCACTTCGCTACTGAATTTGATGTATTCTCCAATCGATGTAAAGTTTTACATAGTTCTGGAGTCTCCAAAAATTGTATTGTATGATTGTACAATTTAAAAAATGTAAAAAAACTGGATATTTTCAGTGTTGTTAGATAATGTTTGAAAATGAACATGATAGGGAGGAAATTGCAAATTAATAATTTACTGTATCTAGTGGCTGTCAAACCGTTAGTTGCCATGATAAATTATCCATTTACAATTTCCTGTCTATCTGACTTACTTCCTAACGCTTATTAAAAACTTTGTTTTTTAATGTTGTTTTTTTCTCCTTTTTGTAATTGTACAATTATAATTTTCAAAGATTCTTGCGTGATGTGAAATCCACTGGGAATTATGATATATTTTAGATTATGAAGATGGAAAACCAATCGAGATGACGTCGAAAGATAATTCATATGGGCTTTAAGACCCCTGTGTATTATCGTTCGAACGTAATTTTGTTTTATTTTTATTTTGATAATGTGAAATATTCTCCAATTAACATTCAGTTTTACGTAGTCCTGGAGTCTCTAAAAATTATGATTGTACAATTGGACATTCTCAATGAGCGTTTTTAGATAATATTGGGAAATAAACACGTGAGAAAATTGCAAATTAATAACTTACTGAATCTAATGGCTGTCAAACCGTTAGTTGCCATGATAAATTATCCATTTACAATTTCCTCTCTATCTGACTTATTTCGCAATCTTTACTGAAAACACTTTGAAAATGTGCAGTTTTTATTTCTATTTTTTTTTAATTAATAGGTTAATTTGTTATAATTAGTATCTATCAAACTCACTGGTTCTCGAGGATTCAATCGAGTCTCCTCCTTCTGCAATTTCTCAAGGATATCCCCAACCCTCTTCTTCTGCTCAAAACCGAAGGAAGGATGATAGTGTGCCATCGTGTAGAGCAGCAGGAGCTCCTCCAGTGGCTGTTCATCCTTCTGCTCCTGGTTCAATGTGGTCCCACTCAGTATGCTATCGATCTCCTGATCATCCAGACTACCCAGAATCTTGTAAAGAATTTCAGCACACGAGTAATTGCAGCCGTGCAACAGTGAAATGTACAGCACGAGTTTCCGCCTCGTTCTCGTATCACCAACACCCAGTGTTGACAATTCATTGACATCAGATGCATTATTAGCGTGATGCTCGGTATCACGCAAATCATTGTAATCTCTCTTTCCTCTGTCCTCAACGTATGTCCCCAAGTACCGCACTTCAAACGGTAAACACATGTTGAGCAGACTGCACATTACATCAATACGGTTATAACTGAAAATTAAGAAAATTTATTCAAATTAGTCGAGATATTGTATTCAACTGTGCATGATAATTTATAGAATTTTCATTAGCTGTTGAAAGTGTTGAGTGTATCAGTGTTAATGTAAAGGCATTAGAATATTGAGAGATGAAATCGTAGAAAAGAATGAATTTCAGAATTGTAGACATCGAATTTTGAGAATATCTCTGGAACTAGTAGATTTAGAGGAAAATGTCAAGGACTTCTTTGTCAATTTGATGATCTTTGGGACATTATTCTTCAATGAGTTTTCGTACTCGTCACGTCTTTCTTGTATTCCATGAAATTTCCGCGAATTACTCTCAAATCCTTCCTTTCAGATTTACTGATTAATTCCTGAATCTGTATTTTTGTTCGGGCTAATCTTCTCATGGATATTGGTGACTGATTTATGTCATTGTGCTCGTAATCCTCAACATTTCACAGCGATTCATGTAATGATGCTGCGAATAAATTTACTGAGGATTTGGGATTTACGGAATGGTTAACTATCGAAAATTAAAAGTGAGAATTATGATTATCCCAAAAGAGGTAGAAGAGTTGTGCATAATTTATATACTTTTCATTTGTTGTTGAACATGTTGAGTGCATCAGTATAAATGCGAAGGTATTTGCATATTGAGAAGCTGGGGAATGATGGGAGGAGAGAGTATGGACGAATTTCCTTGATGAAATGGAAAAGAATGAATTTTAGAATTGTAGACATCGAATTTTACGAATATCTCTGGAATTAGTAGATTTAGAGGAAAATGTCAAGAACGTCTTTGTCAATTTGATGATCTTTAGGACATTATTCTTCAATGAGTTTTCGTACTCGTCACGTTTTTCTTGTATTCCATGAAATTTCCGCGAATTACTCTAAAATCCTTCCTTTCAGATTTACTGATTAATTCCTGAATCTGCATTTTTGTTCGGGCTAATCTTCTCATGGATATTGGTGACTGATTTATGTCATTGTGCTCGTAATCCTCAACATTTCACAGCGATTCATGTAATGATGCTGCGAATAAATTTACTGAGGATTTGGGATTTACGGAATGGTTAACTATCGAAAATTAAAATAGAGAATTATGATTATCCCAAAAGAGGTATAAGAGTTGTGCATAATTTATATACTTTTCATTAGTTGTTGAACATGTTGAGTGCATCAGTATAAATGCGAAGGTATTTGCATATTGAGAGACTAGGGAATGATGGGAGGAGAGAGTATGGACGAATTTCCTTGATGAAATGGAAAAGAATGAATTTTAGAATTGTAGACATCGAATTTTACGAATATCTCTGGAATTAGTAGATTTAGAGGAAAATGTGAAAGACTTCTTTGCCAATTCGATGATCTTTGGGGAATTCTTCCTCAATTATTTTTTGTAACTATAATAATTCCTTGCATTCTTGTCAAGAAGATCACAATATTGTATTCAATAATGTATGAGGAATGTTTTTATCTTCTCCGAATTATTCTTCAATGAGTTTTTGTATTCGTCACATCTTTCTTGTATTCTATAAAATGTTCTCAAATTATTGGGAAATCCTTTTTCTCAGATTTATTCCTGAATCTGCATATGTTTGTTGAGGACTGATCTTCTATTTTTACGATTGATTTATGTCATTGTGCCCATACTTCTCAACATTTTATGGAAATTTATGGAATGATTATCGAATTGACTCTCGAGAATTGGGAGAATTGGGGATTCATTCAGAAATAATAATTTCTGACTGAATCTTCTGAGCTATTCTCCCAACTTAACTACTGACTTATGTCATTGTATTCATAATCTCCGACATTCCATCGAGATTTATGTAATGATTATTGGAATGGCTCTCAGGAATTAGGAGTGAGGATGGTGGAGATGATTGAGTCAGGGGATGCACAGGAGTCGTGAATGCGAATCTAAGTATACAGATGAAAAATTAAGAAATAATATGAGAAGGGAGTATGAATGAAAGTTGCCTGAGTAAAATGATAGAAAAAAACAAGACGTATTTTAGTAAATAGGATAAATCTAGCAATTTCTTGCAGTTTATGACAATTTTCTTTATACTCCACAACATTCCCCACAAGGATGTTACCTCACAAATTACTCTAAACCCCTTCCTCTCGCATTCATTCAGAAATAATAACTTCTGAATGAATCTTCTGAGCTATTCTCCCAACTTAACTACTGACTTATGTCATTGTATTCATAATCTCCGACATTCCATCGAGATTTATGTAATGATTATTGGAATGGCTCTCAGGAATTAGGAGTGAGGATGGTGGAGATGATTGAGTCAGGGGATGCACAGGAGTCGTGAAAATGAATCTAGCTGTGCAGGTGAAAAATTACTCACGATGTAAAGGGAACGAGGGGGTGTATATATACCTCACTTACGGAGCAATCCCATATGCAATAATTACCTGGACAGATTCCGAAACCATGATTCCACGTTCTCCTTACACACCATTGCCAGACAACATTGATACCACTTGGGGTGAAATAAGCGCCGATGCGGGACAACTTTGGCGCCTCGACAAATGCTCGTAAAATTGGTGTATCGCTTAATATGTATGTGTTGTCTTAACTTTTGATGAACGATAAATCATGAGTATTCCAATGTTAGTGGTATTGAGACTTATCTTTGGACGTATTGTATTATTCGGTGGCTTGTGACGCTCGTTTTTTGGTGAATTTATTGTGAAATTTCGGTTATATTCACGGGAAAATTGTTACTGTCCCTTTATGGACCCACACGACATGGAGAAAATGTACAGGACAATGAGCACATAGTAATGAGAGTTTGGGAAGGTGGTGGAGTTTACTGGGAGGGGATTGCACGGCTCCCAATGGGAATTGATTGGATGGCGACCCCTTTCGCTTGCGCGGGAAGCTCGACTATCTCTTTTCAATCAATTGTTGATAACGTAGGGGTGAGTGGGGCAGAATGAAACAGCGGGGCAAAATGAAACTGTCAAAAAAACGGCTTTTTGACGCACTTCAAGCAAAAAAATTGTTTTTTTATTAATTTTTTTTAAATTAAATTTTTCTTCAATTAAATTTTTTTTATTAACTTTTTTCATTCTTGGGAGTAGGGGAGGTTGGGGTCAAATGAACACTTTTGACTTTTTTTTAAATGTTAATGACAGCTTGAAATATTGATGAAATTGAATTTTGTTTTTTTTCAATGCAAAGAGCATTTTTTTTCGTTGTAATGAGCCTAAACTGAGCTCAATTGATGAATTTGTTTGTCGGTTATGAGTAATTTTAAACAAGTCCAAAGTGTCAATTTTTGCCCCACCCTCCCCTACTGATGAGAATGATAATTTTCGATTCAGTAGAATAGGAAATTATAGAGAAATTTTAACGGGCGGAGGTTTTGTCAATGGATTTTTCGATTGAAATTCAGCATTACATTTTCCTTTTTCCCCCTGAATGAATGGATGGAATCAAATCACTTTTTTTCCTCTACTGTAGGTATTAATCCCCGTCCATCACCATTAATTAAAATTCAATTCATTTAATAAAGTTTTTAATTTTTGAATTTTTTCAAAAAGCGATTGTCCCACGATAACTAAACAATGTTCTGAAAAATTTGTTTACACGTCCTTTTGACCGAGTTCAAAGATAAAGGCGATAGGAATAACCGTTGTTTTGATTCAAATAAAAATTTGCAAAAGAATAAATCTCATTCAATTTAATAAAATAAAATTAAACAATGGATTATGTATAATGGAAGAAAATTATAGGCAAAATGGCCATTCGAAATTCAACGATTTTAGAACAGCAAAAATAACTAATTCAAGAACAAAAATGTTCTTATTTTCTTAATTCAACAACCTAAACAAATTCTCTGAGAAATTCTTCTTAAAAACCGTTCCTTCTCAATACGAATTGTAATAAGAAGGCGGGTGTTATAATTGAAATAAATGGGGCGGTGTATTTATATTTGACAGGAATCAGTTGTTCAGTCGAATCATAACAAAAGACACACCCAACTCTATCCTTCCATTCATTTGTTCCTCAACTCACACTTCTAAGAGAGGGTAAGGGAATATTCATTCATTCAAAGGATTCCATAACAGAATGCATGATAAACTGCACAAAGTCAAATAAACTCAAAATAACCCAATCCTCGACAGATTTGCAAATATTCATTTTATTAATCGTTCGCATAGAACCCCACCCCCAAAAAGTTCAGTCAGAAAATATGGATTTAGTTAACTACCTAAAAAAGATCTATTTAAATTGCTTAAAACTCATTAAAATATCGTTATGAACACCACGATTTCAGTCACAAATCTCATCTCTTCTTGGGAGACAGATTGATACTATCGCTATTATCCCGACTGATCCCCGAAGTGGAATTATTGCTCGTCGACTTGTCCCCGCTGTAATTAGAGTTCTGAATATTAGGGGTCGAGGTTCTCGCCTTCATGAGCACAGCCCTCTCAGTGCTCTTGCTGGCCTCCTTGATCGATATCGACGAGACATCACTGAAGTCCGGAAGCCCAGTGAGCGGAGTGCTGCTCCCATTCTTCTTAACCGGAGACTTGGTCCTCCTGAGTGTCGCCAGGAGAGTCCTATCAGAGCTCGAAGAGGAGCTCAAAGCGCTGGCCTCCCTCGTCTTCCTGAGGAAAGGAACAGCCCATCCCAGCCCCACCTTCCTCAAGTGATCCTCCATGCGCTCTGGAGGGGAAGAAGCCCAGGCAGTAGCATCAGACGTCGGAGTGCTGATGATCTCAGAAATTCCAGACACCCCAGAGAAGCTATTGGAGCTGCTCGACGTTATCAATTTGTTGGATCGATTCATCTCGACCTGGCGATTGCCTCCAGCTGAATCCGAGGACTTGGCAGAGCCATTGGAATCCTTCTTCTCCTCTGGAAGTCTTCCTTCCTCCTCCACAGACGACTGCTTGGTCTTGCCCTCGTGGACACCAGCCTCCTCCACTATCCTCTCCTGCACCTGAGGGGCGCAAAGTGGCAGTTGCCTTCTGGACTTTCCATTTGGGCTTCTGGCACTCATGTAACTGCGATTTCCAGTGTCTGGAGTGTCGAACTCTGCGATTGTCGAGAGCTCGTGGGGCGGGGAGAGGGCCTCGATGCCGTAGGGCACAGGGTGGCTCACCGGGGGTGGGCGACGATGCCCATTCCCTTGAGGAATGCTGGGAAGGGGTTTCGGGGCCTTTGGAATCCCTGCCAGGAGAGGAATAAAAGTTTCCCCAGGTCCAGGTGTCTTCCTCGTCGGAGACGACACCTTCGGCTGTTCTCGCTTCACTGGAGAGTCCGGCTGCCTCCTGGAGGCACTCGCCTGCTCCGAGCTCTTGGTTTGCTCCAGGATCTCCAGGGACAGCTTCTCCACGATGTCGTCGTGCTTCGGTGATGATTGTTGGTGGGAAGGCACTTCCTTCTTGGGGAGGGATGACTTGAAACGCTGGAGATTTATTTTCACAGTTTCCTCGCTTATCACCTTCGGCTTCTTTTTTAGTTCTGAGTGCGGGGGCGAGGGCGGTAGGGGGAGGCTCGGGGATTTTGGGGCTTCCTGGGGTTTTTGGGGGGCGGGGGGCGGCACTTCCGGGAGCTTCGGGGAGTCCAGGCGTCTGGAGGCGTTGAGACTACCTGTTATTATTTTTTGGGACTCCTGCAGGGTCTTTGCGAGCTGGTTGTGGATTGCTTCGATACTTTCTACTAGTTTTTGAACGCTGTGGAGACTGTCGCGGTGACGGGGGGCTGGCATCTGCATTAGGGAGGTGTCGTCGCTCGGGGCTGTTAGTGAATAATCTTCTGAAATTGGAGAATGAGAAGAATGATTGTGGTGAGATTAGTGATGATGAATTTTCAAGCTTATTATTCATTGTTATTAAGGATGTTCGACACCCTTTTAGCCAAAATTGACGTTGTTTTCATTTTTCTGGCAAATTATCGATGGGAGTGACGTGAAAAAATATAACGATTTTGTGGTTTGTCGTTCTTTAATGGCTCACGAAGTTGCGTAGTGGTGCGATAATTTTCATGCGTTTTTTCTACAGTTTTGTGATTCTTTTTAAAAGTTTAGAGAAAACGCAGGAAAATGTTCGCACCACCTTAAAATTTCGTCAGTCATTAAATAATGACAAAACGCAAAAACGTTATATTTTTTCACGTCAATTCCATCATAAGTTTGCCAGAAAAATTTAAAAAACGTGAATTTTGGCAGAAAGGGTGTAGAACATCCTTAATATTATTATTAATTATATTAGGAGGGTTATTCGACCGTTTCACATTCATGATTGAGATTTTTTGTTGTTGACTTTGCGGTCTCGTAAAGTTACTAAATCAACTTATTATTAATTGTAGTGAATTAGCAATTTGCAAAAGCAGGGAAAATTAGGTAAAGGGGTGGGAGAGCAATATTATTCAGTAGCGAAGTGGTTAATACAGTTTAAGCCCCGGGTGTACTATCTTTCGAATGTTATCTGGATTTTTTTTATCTTTCGTAATCCAAAATTGTCAAGTGAGTGGTACATCATGTAGAAATTCCCAAAAATTATGATAGATTGATTTAAAAAATGGAAAAAATCCTGAACTTCTTCAAAGAGCGTTTTTAATTGAGATTCAGAATGAGTTGGAAAAAGTGGAAATTACAAATATCAGTGGTATGTGGTATGTAGTCATCTGCCATTTTTATGTGATAAAAGTGTGATTAAAAAATTCTCCAAAATATTACAACTTTTTTCAAAGAGCCTTTTCCATAATAAATGTCTCTCTGCAGTGTGGGAAAAGATTTACGAAATCAGTCTTCCCCCTGCACGATATTGGGTGACAGGCCGCCATTTGTCACCGTAAATTCGACACATTTTTCAATTTCTTGTTATTCAACTTATCCTGAAAATAGGGGAGGTTGGGGTAAAATGGACACTTTTGACTTTTTTTCAAATGTTAATAACAGCTTGAAATGTTGATGAAATTCAATAGTTTTTTTTTTCAATGCAACGAACATTTCTTTCCCTTTGTGAGCCTAAACTGAGCTCAATTGATGAATTTGTTTCTGAGTTATGAGTAATTTTAAAAAAGTCCAAAGTGTCCATTTTACCCCATCCTCCCCTAGATTAAAAATGCTCTTTGAAAAAATTGAGAATTTCTTCTATTTAGTCTTTTATTATTCATTCATAATTTTTCAAAACTTCTGCATGATGCAGGAGTCAATTGACAATTTCAGATGACGAAAGATGAAAAAAAACATCGGGATAACGTTCGAAAGATAGTACACCCGGGCCTTAATACGACTTATCTCCCAGTTGAGATAGCGAAATTTTCGTCATTACATTTGTTATAGTTCTTAATTGGCTCTACAAAAAAGATTATAACGAAAATCTTCCTCAGATTCCGAGATATTCATTGAAAACTGGCCAATAGTCAAACTTGCCTTGTACCGTTTTACCACTTCGCTACTGAATTATAGAAATTCAATTATGAAAAAGTGAATGCTTCTCTCAAGAACATGAATATTTCGCAAAACTATTTTGTTTTCTCTCTGTATTTCTCCCCACCCCCCATTCCCTCCCCCACTTGCATCAAAGCTTTCAACAAATCAATTTACCTTGCTGCTCATCCCTAACTTGCTTGATGAGGGCATTCAGGGACGCAATCCTCTCCGCGCAAATGTTCTGCAGTTCGTCATACTTCTTCAGCGTTTCAGGTTTGCTCGCCCCAAAGTCCGCCTTCACCCCCCCCACATCCTGATGCACAAGCCTGCAGAGTGGATTTTTGCACCTGCAAATTTCCTCCTCCTCACCCCCATCCCCGTAGCTCACCTCGGTCTCCCTCGGGCTCTTCCTCGGCCGTTCCCTCTCCCTCGACTTCCTCCTCCGTCTCCCCTCCGGGCCCTCCTGCGCCGCCCCCTCATCGAACTTGAGGAGCCTCCCCAGTCTCCCAGCATCAGGAACATTGGACGGAACCCTCAGAACCCTCGGCGAAGGCGTCTCCGGAGTGGACACAGGGCTGATATCCCTGTCCCTGAACCTCCTCATCACACTCTCATTGGCGGAGGAGTCCAGCATCTGGAGAATCGGCGTCATATTGTTGGCCACAGCCTCAGGATACGACGACCCAGGCTGCACAGCTGGCAAGCTAGCGTAGGAAGTCGAAGTGTCAGAAGTGTTATTATAATACCTCTTTAAAATCGTTTGCTTAACTCTAACGTACGATTTCCCCTGCTCCCTCAGCCTCGCTGGTTGTCCAAAGGACACGTCAGTGCTGGTGTCAGCTGGTGGTACCCTCTTGCGCTCTGGCAACTTGTACTTCCTGGGTTTCTCCTCCTCGATGACCTCCTGGGGGCTGCTGACTCGAGAGGTCGGTGCTGAAGCTGACGCTGAGCCTGGAGCAGTCTCGATCTCAGGGACTCTCTTCACCGGAGACGTCCTCCCACTAGCTGGCAACGACGTAGGGGTCTTCCGCCTGGAGGTCCTTCGCTTCGTTGGAGTCACCTTGACCTGCTGCCTGCTGAAGTCAATGACAATCCCTGGGGCTGAGGAGTCGCTGCTGCTGGCCCCCACCTCTGGGTGAATGATCCTGACGATTGGCTCGACGTACTCGAGGGGATCAGACGTTCTGTCCACCCTCGTCGAGGCTGGCTCCGTCAGCTCGACTTGAATGCTCTTGTCGTTGACGTCCGGAGCGTCTGGGGAGGTCTGAGACGTCTGCACAGCTGTCTCGATCCTCTGGGGCTTCCTGGTGGCCTCAGTCACCTTGATTATCTTTATCTCTGGGGACTCTGGCTTTTCTTCCACAGGTTTCTGCTCCTGGGCTGGCTCCCTCGCCCGTTGAGTATCGAAGAGACGAGTCATGCTGGCGTTGAAGACAGAGTCTGGAAGGGTGGCTCCAAACTCCTGCAGGAGCAGTCGCTTCTGGCGCTCCACCTTCTTCAGCATCTCGAGAATTTGCTCGTTTCGAGACGAGGCCTCCTCCACTGGGGAACTGTCCGAGCGCTCGTAGACACTGTCGTAGGGGCTGTCAGACATCGACTCCCCATCGCTCTGGTTAATCGTTATGATTCTCTCGATGGGGTCACTTCGAGACGCCTCGAATGCTCGATTCATCTCGGCTTGCTTCATGTCCTTCTTCAGTTGTCTTCGCTTTCCATCCAGAATGCTGCGGTGACACGAGCTCTGGCTCGCCTTCAGCTTCTGCTCCTCTCGAGACAGGTGATCCAACTTCTGGATCAAGTTGTGGTAGTCCTTCTTCACTCTCTCGCGGAGGGCTGCGTTGGCCCCTCGTTGCTGAGCTCTCGCTCGCTGACTCTGGATCGAGGGCTCTTTGCTCTGGAGGGTTGAGGTCTTTCGGGCCAGTTCCACCGCGCTGGGCTCGTCCACCAGCTCCACTCGCTCCACGACACCTGGGGGGCGGCTGTAGGACTCCCTCTGGCGGGTGTTGTAGTCGTACAGGTGGACTTTACTTGGTGACGCAGGTTTTCCTGGGGGTTTGGCCTTTGGCGGCGCCTTCCTCGGGGGCATTTGCTCCTGGGTGTTGCTGGCGCCTCCGTCTGAGAAGTACGAGGAGTCGTCGCTCACTGAGGGACTGCTGGAGGACGAGGGATTATGCTGGTAGTCGGAGGGATTGTACTGCTGATTTTTATCGATTTTGTCTGGTTTATCTGAGTTTATCTCTTCGATTCTGTTAATTTCGTCGAGCTCGGGGATTTTTTTGGGTCTCGGGGGCTTCGAGGTCTTTGGGGGCTCCGGGGGGCGCAGGCGAGGATCCGGGGGGGAACCCTCCTGGTGGATCTCCACGACGACGCGGCGAGAGGGCCTCGATGCCTGGGAAATGGCCCTCGTGGGCGGTTTTGAGATCACTTGTGAGGGGGATTTTTTGGAAAGGGTTTTCTTGTGTTTTCGCTTTTTTGAAGAAGTTCTGGGGAGGCTGGGGGACTGGTGGGGAATCTCGGGGGGTGCTGAGGGGGTGGGGGGGATCGTGGAGGCTGGGGAGGGCTGCGGGACTGAGGGGTGCAGTGGTGGTGGCCCTTTTGGCTTGCGGGGCGAGCGCTTGGAGAGGTTTGCTATCATTGAGGAACGCACGTTTTCCACCTCGCGCACCTGACGGAGGCGCTCCTGCTGCTTTGCCACTGGGTCTTCTTGCTGGAATTGAAAGGGGACGGGGGGTTAGAAGGGGTTGTCAGGGATGTAGAGAAGTGGAAAGAACATGGGTTTGATGGTTGAAACGGTTTAAGTCGATTTTGAATATTTTTCAGTGAATATCTCTGAATCTAAGGGAGATAGCTAAATTTTTGTCAAGACCTTTTTTGTAGCACTCAATTTGCTTCAGAAAAAAGGTTATTACGAAAATTTCGTTATCTCCTTTGGATTCGGAGATATTCTTCAAAAACTCAACTAAGAGATGAGGTGACTTGAACCGTTTTACCACTTCACTACTGAATTATTTGTCTCTTGAGAAATGTAACGATTTAATTTGATCCCAACATCTTGGAAGCTCTTTCTGAGCAAAACTCATCAATAATTGAAGTGGTTTATCTTTCTTTAATTTTCTTTTCCTATTATAATGTATCATAATCAAATTTGATAATCTCGATTAATTCCTAGAGTCAAGTTGTACTCTGTAATTCTTTGTAGGCTAATCAATTCATGTAAGATATTTGGGTTTTCCATAGGGGGTGATTGTTACCCCAGGACATAGTCATAAAGCTCAATAAATAAATAAATAAATAAATGGGTAATTTCGGTATTTTTTTTTCAATTTCAGTAACTTTCTTCGGAACACTATTTTTTTTTCTCTGGGCTTTTCGCTTACTCTGAGAAACACCTTTTTTTTATTGACTTTTTTTTATTTTTTACGTATAGGGGAGAGTGGGGCAAAATGAAACAGTCGAAAAACCACTGTTTGACGCAATTCAAGCAAGAAAAAATTTGTTTATTAAATTTTTTTTTATTCCAGGAAGTACTGATGAGAATAATAACTTTTCATTCTGTAAAATGGAAAATTATTGAGAAGTTTTGACGGGAGAAGATTTTGTCAATGGATTATTTGAAAAGAAAATGAAACAGTAAAATCTAAAGTCCATAGCAAGACCCATGGGGGGAACCAGAGGAGGAAAAAGGAAAATGTGATGCTGAATTTCAATTGAATGAAAAAATAAAAGTGTAATCGGCCTAATTTAATCAATGAATTATAATCCATTGAATTGTCACATTAACAGAAAATTATTATTCTCATCAGTACTCCCAATAATAAAAAAAGTTGATAAAAAAATTTATTTCGTTTGAACTTCGTCAAATAGTCGTTTTTTGGCTGTTTCATTTTGCCCCACTCTCCCCTAATGAAAATATAATTATTAAAAATTCTTTTTATATTTTATATTTTTGTTTTCATTTGTTATTTAATGATGTTCTTCATATGATAATCTAAGCTATGCCGCGAGAAATGGTGACAAAAAACGTAACATGCTTTTTTTCAAAAGGGTTAAGCAATTTAATCCTTAGTTTCCTCTGCAGGAGAAACATCTTAACAAATTCCCCTGGTCCTCTTCCTCTCAAACACATTCAATAAATGACTTCATGTTTGTCGTCTTCCGTCCACTACTCTGCGACTCAATAAAATTGTGATAAGAAAATGAGAAAGAAAGAGTTTTTGGAGCTGAATATTAATCATTTCTCTTCTGAAATTGACTAAACACTTTCTTATTCTTAATCCTATCCCTTCTACAACCATGAGGTTTTAAAATCAGTAACTTGGTTCTGAAAACTAGAATTTTTTTCTGGGCTTTTCGTTTACTTTAGGAAACATGTTAATGAATTTTCATGGCGCTCTTCCTCTCCAAAATATTCAGGCAATGACTTCATTGTCGAGAAACGAAAACGAGAAAAAAAGAGAGTTTTACCATCGCAGACTCCTTCAATCGTTGAGAGGCCTCCTTGCCCCTCTCAGCAGCTGCCAATTGATTCTTTCGACGTCCACTCTCCAAGATAATTTCAACATCAGGTTGTGCCGCAGCTGATGTGTGAGCCAATCCGATATCCTCCATATCCTCTTGGTATTTCTGCTGGATCTCCATGATCTTCTTGTCGTGCATTCGGCGGAGCTCTGAGTCCTTGTCATTTCCTATATCGTTTAGGGTTTTCTTGGCGATATTCTTCGCTCTGTCCAGTAGTGTACTCGACATCTCCTTCGACTGCTGACGAACCTGTCCAATAATTATAATCAGGTCAATTCCTTGGAAAATCCAATAGGTAAGATCACATTAAGGATATCCAAGTATCTTCTACAGTTTGACACAGACCACACTATAGATTCAACCATTTTCAATCATCAAATTTGTCAATTAAATTGCGCGAGAAGAATTTGAAAAAGATAATTAATATTTGGCATCATTCAAATTACACTTTGCACAGAATTATTTTTTTGAACATTCGTTGTTTATAAATAACTAATGGAAATTGTTTAAACTTTTGGAAACTTCTTCTGGATATGAGTAAACTCGTAACGATTCCGAACAAATGATTTTTATGGTGAAAAATTAATAGTTTGTAAGTTATTTACAAGAAATGCTCAAAATTTCCCAAAAATTGCAATTTTTTAATCATTTCATAACTCTTCCTTCAAAAGTAAACTTTCTTTTCTTTCAGATTTTTAAAATGTTTTCTAAGGGTTCAATATCGAGATTCAAATCCGGACTTGCAAAGTTTAAATAATAAAATCATTGTAAAATGTCCGGAAACTTAGGGTCAAATGAAGCTCAAATGAAAGCTTTGATATTCGACTACAAAAGTAGAAAATAAAACAATATCTGCTGACCCAATTATATGATTGAGATAAATCAAGTTTTATTTTGAGGCCTGAATAAATACCTTCGAAACGAGAAGAAATTATTCAATTTAACTCTGGCCATCTTGAGTAATTAATAATTGAAAATAGTTCATTTTACCCCCTTCTCTAATAAAATAGCAGACGAGTGGAATCAAGCAGGAAATTCTTGTTAATTATATATGTTAATTATCTTGAAAATTGGATAATTTATTTTTGAGATTGATTGATAAATTTTTTCTATCAAATATCTATCTGGAAATTTCACGGAATTTCCGTATCATTTTCTAATGAAAATAAGTTAAAAATTGACTAGACTTTTTATAAAGTTTCAGTAGAATCATAATAGAATTTCTATAGAAAATAAATGATTTTTTTAGGCAGACCATTTCGTGAAGAACCCAGTAGGGATAGGTGAGCTAAAATGAACTACATAAAATCGTCGACATCTTCTGACTCAACGATACAATTGAGATAAATCAAATTTCATTTTAAAGCCTGAATAGATACCTTCAAAAAACGAAAAAAAACATTCAAATTCACTCTGTCAATCTTGAGTAATTAAGAATTGAAAATAGTTCATTTAATTAGCAAACGAGTGAAATTAATTATGAAATTCTCATAAATTGTGTTTCAGAAACCGTGAAGAATGGGGAAAATAGATAATTTACTAGTAGGATAATTAAACAATAACGAATAAAGTATTCGAGTTGCTCCGATCCATAATTACAGTACAGAATTGAATGTCCACAAACCAGTAATTCATGAAAAATGATCTACCACTATGGGATGAAAAATTTAATTGATGAAATTTGAAAGATTCATTACCTGCTCCAGTCGTAACCTTCTCCTGCGTTGACACTCATTCTTCTTGATCTGCTCCAAATCCGAGAGAATGACTCTTCGTCGTACGCACACAGGATTCCCATTAACCGTCACGTTAATCGACATTTTTTACTTCTCATTCAACCATTGGGGCACTATTAATTCATCTTTCGGGGAAGGCTATTTAACCCATAAATTTCAAATGTTCAATTCGGATTTGACTACCACAACAGCATACATGCAACGGTTTTTGAGCCTCCAATTGCCCCTGCACCCCTCCCGGCCGTTGCCGAGAGAGTTTGCCTTGAATGCAGAGTGAGACACCGACGATCGGTACACGAACAGAGTCATCTGCAGCTAATTGATAGAATCATTTTTCAAACTTTGAGTGACTTGAACCAATCGGGAAAAACCCCTGCATTTTTTGGATTTTTTTATTAGGAGAGAGTGGGGTAAAATGGACACTCACTCTCTGGGGTATGACCGGTAGGGAGGGGTGGAATTGGGTGTGACCCATTACGGGTCGAACCAATAACTTCCCGACCAATTCCTTTCCTCCATTCATTTCCGAAAAATCGAAAATTGTGATGAACTGCACAAATTCTGGAATTCTGGAAGATATTAACTCAGCAGAGTCTGTACGAAATCTGTACGAAGGAAAACTCAAAATCACAGCTAGTTCTATTGTTTAAATTTCGTTTTTCCTCAATGCAGAAACTACCGCACCGATTTCAATTTTTCTTTTTTCAAAATGGTCGTCTCAATGACATCTATTCACATAAATCAAAATATGTGTAACTATTCATAGAAGTTTTCAAGATATTTCCGCGATAAGTTGCGAAAAAAATGGCGACAGCAAGTTGAAATTTGGTTCTCAAACAAGTCCCACACTGAGAAAAAAAATTTCTAAGAAATAGAAATTCTATGATTGATCCAAATCGTTCATTGATTGAATAGTCGCAAAAGAAAATGCTATTGTAAGACACAAATATCGATTTAATTTTAATGTTTTCGATTGAAAAAGAATGAGATCAGTTATCTAAACTTTTTTTTTGTTACTATCTACTTTTCAGTACATACAAATCAATGTCTGTATTATCAGATATCTTCTTCGAATAAAGCATATAATTATCCAATTATCAGCGTCACGATATCCCGCGAAAGAATATCTGTTCAATTGAAAGTAGAATTCATAGATGCAATAAAATTAAAAAATGAATCGCTTTTTCTCAAAAACTATTAGATCGATCGGGTTGAAATTTTGCACAGAGTTAGTCCTCATCAAGGCCTATAATCTGACAAGATTTCAAATTTTTTGGAATTACTTTGGCCACTTAACTACTCAATTTTCTAAAAACTGATCATCGGCAAAGTGGCGGTGGATGTGATCACATGCAGACACTCTACATTATTTCCAATTAAAATTAGAGAATGTGAAAATCGGACTATAACAATGCTTCAATGCTCGTAAGCAACACAATTTCTTCTCCCAAAAAAAAAAATTCTTGATAAAAATAGATATTTTTTCTCAGTTCAAAAAACGAACAGAGAAAATGCCAGTTTTTCGTTCCCTGGACTGTCAGCCGATGATCATCAATCTGAAACGATGAGATAAAGGAGAGAAGTATTTCCAGGGATGGCCATTAATCTTCTGATTCTTCAATTAAAAGAATTTCCGACTTACATTGATTAAGGTTTAAAAATATTAATCGAAATTAAGAAATAGAAAAATAATTCAGTAACGAATTGGTAAAACGGTTCAAATCGATTGTCATTATTGTTGTTCAGTGAATATTTCGGAATCTAAGGGAGATAGCTGAATTTTTGTCAATACCTTTTTTGTAGCACTCAATTTGCTCTAGAAAAAAGGTTATTACGAAAATTTCGTTATCTCCTTGAGATTCGGAGATATTCTTCAAAAACTCAACTAAGAGATAAGTCGACTTAAACCGGTTTACCACTTCGCTACTGAATTGATAATGTAAATTTCCAATTGATGATGAATTAAATATTTAATAATTTGAAACTGTAAATTTTCTTTTAAATAAATAACACTAAATTTCTCATAAGGGATTTTCGAATATCCGAATAATCGTCAATCTTCCTAACTAAATTGCTGGTTAATAAACAATTTGTAATCTGAATCTTCAAATTGACGATTACTTCAATAATTAAAATTTAAGAGAGACATTAAAGAATTGACTACTTAACAATTTAACGGTAATTCTAATTTATGAATATGGCTATCCCTGAGTATTGCCAGTGCAAGGACCAAGATGTTTTCGAAAATTCTCTTACTCCACTCATAACGAGGGGAAATCCCCGTGGAAATGGCCAATCAAATCGTCAAAAAGTCTCTCCCCTTCGAAGTGTTGAAAACAAAGAATGAAAAGAGAAGAAAAAAAAATAAATGGCAAGTCAAAGTATTGAAGAATTCGTAATAACATATATTCTGTATAACATGATACTTGTATAAGTATATATTTATATGTAGGTTATGTATATATGTATATATAATAATAACCATAATAATAATTAATAAAATATAATGTTTAATGTTAATCAATATATATCTACCGATTAATGTTAATCGTGACGTTAGTGGTTTCTTTTGTTCTCTCTCATTTCTTTTATTTCATTTGTATATCCTGTATTATTTCCATCGTCATCGGTGCAGTACATATCGTCTCTTCGTGCACTTAATCATTGTCTTGAACAATGGTAAAGATATAAAATTACTCATCATCATTTATCCCTATTTCTCTTTCATAAAAAAATGTTCAGTTCGAATGGTCGATTTTAATCTTCGATTTTCCAAAGAACAAAAAATAATTTTTCGTATTATTCATCCTCTGTTTTGTTTACAACTTAACAATTACTGATATCGTAATTTCACTAATTTTAGGGTTGGGGGGGGAATTGATAATAATTACGACGAGGAGACGACAGAAATACTGCGAAATATTTTGTATTTGGGATATCTTCAGGAGCGAAAAAAGAAATCAAAGAAAATTATAAATAACTTCAATAAATGGTAGCAATATTATATGTGCTGTTGCGAAACTTGAAAAAAAAATCAACTCAATTTATCTTTACTGGTGAAAAATTTTGAAAATTGCTTAGAAAAACGATAGTCATTAAGATATTGGCTGCGTTTCATCTGGCATAACAAACAATTTTTACGCTGCTTATTTTTTTTTTCAACCGCATTTATGTTTTTTCTTCATTTCTAGTTGAATCGAACTATTCTTTTTTTTTTTGTTTCGCTCACAAGCTTATAACAAATATATATTGCTCTTATCCACTTTTTATCTATTACATTTAGGAAAATTACGGTCTACTTAGATAATATACGAATTACTCTTACTATTCTGTAAAAGTTTAAACGTTTACCAAATAATAATAATAATAATAATAATAATTGTAATAATAAGACTCTTTTTCCGTAGAGTTGGCGTCACATAACTACCGTAAAATACGTTATTTTTCACTATTTCTCATCAATTGTTCTAAATTATCTATACTGATATAATTATTATGCATTTGTGTGCTTAAACGACGGATCTCTCGAGATGATTCTTGGGTTTTTCATACTTTTACACATAGATTTCCATCAGAAACAACTAGAAAAAGGAGTAAACAAGCGGTGAGATCCACAAATAGAGCTTACAGTTTGTATTTTACTTTATCTTTTTTTTTTTTCAATTTTTTGAGTTGTCACTTTTGTTTAAAAATATTAAAATCTCAGTCGCGGTATAGATCCGGAAGAACCCAAAAATGTAATTACATGCGTTCGTCAATTCGACAATTGTTTGAAAAGATGAACGCAGTGATAGTAGCGATTATCATTTTTTTTCTCTAGATGGAACGTGTCGCGTGCATGAGAGATGCACGTGACGACGTTTTATTTTGTTTTTCATCACTTAAGATTTATTTTTTCGTGATAACACGAGTAAATCTCTGGTATTCCAAGTTGGGTGAAAATAAGTGAGATTGGGAGTAGTAAATTTGAATTTGTGAATTTAATTTTCGATGTGTAGCGCTGTGCAGTCGAATATTATTTATAATTGTCAATGTCTGTCCGAAATATATGGCCGGGTGAGAGAAATTTTCATTGAATAATTTGACGCATTTTGTTTACTCATCATTAATTTTTATAAAATGTTTTCAGATGTATAAAGACATAAAATAATTCGCCAATGGTGGAGTTTTGTGATTCTGGAGGAAGTGATTGTTCAATTGGAAACTAAAAGTAATTGGAATACCGAGGAAAACATCATATTATTGAAAATTGGCCTAAAACGATTTTGCATTATCATTAAAAACTAACTACATTATAATGCAATCTACGCATGTAATATTCAAAATGATGACAATGATAATTATGGAGATACGAATGACAATGACGCTAATTCATCATCATTAATTAATAATTATGAAAAAAAAAACGTAAATGGCGAATATAATAATGACAATAATAACAGTGAGATTAAAAATTACTATCATTAGAAAGAATTATTAGTTCTTTTTATGAATTAATTATTTTATATGTCTTTGTCTGATACGTGCGAGAACGTGAGTCTGCGTGAGCTCCAGGAGTTACTGTTCCTCGAGACTTGTGGACTCAGTCAATTACCAATTTATTTCCCTTCGATTAACGTCGATAATTTGCATCATAAGGACGCAAATTCACGTGAGGTTTCAATTTTACTCGTTAAATTTAACAATTTGATTCGATTAATTAAGTAATTAGTGAGATTCCTGGAACTCAGCGTCGCTCCGCCGTAACTCCGAACAAAATTGCATTTTTACAATCGATATGAGATCGTTCTGGTATGATTTATCCCGGCCATAGATATTCACGCCTTATTGTACAGTACAATTATGATTTCAATCAATCATTTGTCTTCATTACCAATTTTCCTCATTCCTCACCTTGTTTACTACCCTAATAGTTATGTTATTTAGATATAAAAATTTTCGTGGTGTTTTCAGTATTTTATTTTCTCTCAAAAGAAGATAACTTTTCTCTTCCAAATTGGAGAATGTAAAACGTAATTTTACAGTTGTTTTTTTCTTTATCGCTTCAATGAAAATATTCGAAAAGCATTCACACAAAAGAGTTGGTAGAATGTTGATTTTTATCATGCAGTGCTCTTTGATAATTCCATAAGAGTCGAGATGTTACGAGAATCTTCGCCAATTCCATGCACTTTGATTTTTAATGCTGCGGGACACCCCGTCGTGGTGACAATTAATCAGAGACAAGGACAATTACGTAATGATGATTGATTTCTACTCAATTGCGAGGGGAAATTCAACGTTGGGAGCAATTAGCTTGAAACAAGTTTTCATTGAATTTCAATCCTTGGAGATGATGACAATTGAGGTTGAAAATATTTGCGATAGGAAGACGAAAAAATTATTAGTAATCTGTTCACGTGAGGTATCAAATTTCCTTGAGGAATTTTAGGAGTCAAGCGAAAAGAGAACACGAAGAAAATTAATATTGAAAATATTTGCAATGAGAATACGAAAATATTATTAATAATCTGTTCTCGTGAGGTATCAAATTACCTCGAGTGATATTAGAAGCCAAAAGACAAGAGGTTTCCATTTAAATTTCAATTCTTGAACATGATGAAAATTTATTAATTAATTCTATTAAATTAGCGAATTACCTTGAGTGATTTTAGAACTCAAAGGAAATGATTTTTCATTTAAATTCAAATTTCCTTAAAGATGATAAAAATTGATGCTGAAAATAGTTGTTAAGGGAATACGAAAAAAATATTAATAATCAGTCCTCGTGGATTATCAAATTATTTTGAGTAATTTTAGGAGTCAAACGAAATGATTTTTCATTAGAATTTTAAACCGTGAAGATAATAAAAATTGATGGTAAAAATATTTGCTATGGGAATACGAAAAAATTATAAATAATCAATTCTCGTGAAGCATCAATTTGCCTTGAATAATTGTAGGGGTCAAACGAAACAAGTTTTCATTAAAATTATTAATAATCAATCCTTATAAAGTGTCAAAATACCTTGAGTGATTTTAGAACTCAAAACGAGTTTTCATTGAAATTTGAATCCTTGAATATGATGAAAACTGATGTTGAAAATATTTGCAATGGGAATACCAAAAAATTATAAATAATCAATTCTCGTGAAGTATCAATTGGCCTTGAATGATGTCAGAAGTCAAACGAAATGATGTTTCATTTACATTTCAATCCTTGAAAATGGTAAAAATTGGTGTTGAAAATAATTGCAATGGGATACAGAAAAAAATGATTAACAATCAATTCTCGTAAATTACCAAATTTTCAGTGATTTTGGAACTCAAACAAAACGAGTTTTTATTAAAATTTCAATCCTCAAACATGATAAAAATTGATGTTTGAAAATATTTGCATTGAAAATACGAAAAAATTATTAACAATCAATCCTCGTTATTTATCAAATTAAGTTGAGTGATTTTAGGACTCAAATGAAACGAGTTTTCATTGAAATTTCAATCCTCAAACATGATAAAAATTGGTGTTTGAAAATATTTGCATTGAAAATATGAAAAAATTATTAACAATCAATCCTCGTTATTTATCAAATTAAGTTGAGTGATTTTAGGACTCAAATGAAACGAGTTTTCATTGAAATTTCAATCCTCAAACATGATAAAAATTCAGGTTGAAAATATTTACAATGGGAATACGAAAAAAATTATTAAGAATCAATCCTCGTGAATTCCAAAATTTTCAGTGATTTTAGAACTCAAACAAAACGCATTTCCACTGAAATTGCAATCCTCAAATACAATAAAAATTGATGTTGAAAATATTTGCAATGGAAACAAAAAAAATATTAACAATCAATCCTCGTGAAGCATCAAATTACCTTGAATAATTTTAGAAGTCATCGCCTGCTCCTCCCTAAATTCTAAAATTAATGATATCCGAAAAGATATGTTGTACATTGACAACCGACAATTTACAAAATAGAAATCAAATTGGCCATTACTACGTGATTGATCTGTCCCCGATAAAAAAATAGGGGTGCCACACCACCATCAGTCCCTTTCGTTTTCATCATTCATTCACTCTCCCTCCACCTCTCAAGATGATTAATCATATTTTTATCTCCAACGAATCTGTTGAAAATAAAAATTGTTACGTCTATTTATCGTTACAACAGTTATGCAATCAATTGGACGGTTATTGTTTGTTATGTCATATCTATCCACGCGCCATTTCTAATATATACTATCATCTTGTTTTGATCCTTGTTTCATAATTTCATTATTTTGCAATGAATTTGGGGTTGAATTTAAATCACGAAAACCAAAACACTGAAAATTACGATAAACGAGTGGGAAAAATACTGAGGTCAGAGTAAACATGAAAACGAATGTGGGATTTCTTATCATGAAAAATTTTGAATTTTCTCACCCCTTCGACACTATCCGGGTTCAATCATACCTCTCAGCGTCAGTTAGTTTAAAAAATTCTCATTCAATTTATCTCACATATCTTTCGTTGACACCAGCAGCCAATTTAACAGTTATCGGAATTATCGTAATTTCTTTTTTTTTCTCTCGTTAACTCACTAGTCACTGATATATTTACAATTTAGTCGTCATTTACAGTTTCTCCTTCGAGATTTTCACATTCACAATCTCAAAACACAGCATGTGTTCATTATAGTCATCATTAATTGTTCTTAATTAATGTGGATTGTGGATTAATGTCAATTATTCAGCTTTTAAATAAGTAAATGGATTATAGTGTGCGCCATTTGCAATTCATCATGATTCTCTTAATCTCTCATTGTTGACAATTTCTGGGAAAATTGGCGTAACACGAGATATAAATCTCGATTAACTATCGCCGGGATGTACGAAAAATCGCTTTAGTAAATTTATTATTCTTCTCTGGCAGTATAGAATATTGGTGTATACAACTTATGTTTTTTTATTGTTTTATGTTTTCTCCCTTATATATCTCTTTTGTTATCAACTTAATTAATTTATTTAATTCATTTATTCGTTATTTTTCTTCATTTGTATTTCGCCCCGTCGAATTTCAGCTCCCATTCACCATGAGTTTGCACATTTTCTCTTTCATTTTTTTTTATCTAAAAACATGTTTTCCAACGTTTCACAGAACTTAGTTCAATTTAGATTAAAATATCACAATTTTTCCGCAATCAAATAATTTTTTTTTATCTCCTATACTTACACAGACCTAGTTTCCGACACTGTGAGACGAACGTCTGCATTAAACAATTAATGTTAATTATCTCGAGCTCTGAGGCTCAACGAACTTAATGTGTCATTTATATTCTTCTTTCTTCATTAATCCTGAACAATTCGATCTAGGATTTACAGAAATGATAACCGAAACACTTCATATTGATTAACAAAAAACATACAAATATTTTTCAAACTATAAAATCCAATAAATATAGTACACAAAATACTCACTCCTTTAATTTCGCTTTGTTCACTGTTGAATGATGCAGAATGGACTCTTTTGGGTTAACAACGTTAATTTTATTAACATTAATTTTTTAAATGTTAATAACTTTCCAAACTCAGGGGAGGTTCACCCCAAGAAAAAAACATTTTCGTTTTTTGAGATAAAAAAATTAAAAATACTATTTTCCGCGGGATTTTGCTCAGGAATCTGATTTTGTGGGTCATCATTATCTTCTGCCACTCAACAGCGGAGAATCGAATTTTTTTTAATTGAAAAATCAACTTGACAAAAATCCCCAACGTATTTTTTTCGAGTTTTTTAAATGTGATTTGTCATTTTCGCTGCTTAATTATGAAAAATGCGGAAGATGCATTTTTAAATTTATTCGCGTATCAAAATTTTTATTAATATCTGAAGGAAATATTTTTTTTTCCAAATATTATATATGAACTTCATTTATGAGTACTAACTCGATGTTTAATGGCCTTTTTTACTGTACACTGAGAAGACGAATCTTTTGTGAAGTATGTTTTTACTTGTACCAAGCGTATAACATCTCACAGCAGGAAAAAAAAATTAACCCAAGAAATTTTATATCAATTCATGTGGTTTTTGCATTAACATATTTTAGAATTGACACTAAAAAAACTATTAGAGTAATTAATTCAATTTTTTTAGTATGAGAAATCGCTTTGTCATCAAGAAATTGTCCTCGTCTTTAAAATACTTATAACTTATTTTCGAAAATATAATCGATGGACTTCAAAATTTATCTTTTCCTGGAGCTTTCATAATTAAAAAATGAAAATTTGGGATCATTTTAAGAAACTATTTCGAAAAAAATACATTGGGAATTTTTCAAAAGTCCATTTTTCGGCCGAAGGCGAATTCGACCTCCAAAATCGGATTCCTACGGGAAATCGCGCGGAAAAAAGTGTTTTTGAATTTTTTTTCTCGAAAAATGCAAGTTTCTTTCCTCCTCTTAACAAAATATGATAATTTGTTCTCTTATAAAAAGCAGAATTCTTCCGATTTAAATTCGTTTCTGACGAAGAAAAATCAAGTGTCCATTTTGCCCCATCCCTTAACAAGCTCCTGGAAAATTAATTTCCGAATTTTTCCAGAGAAGTTTTTGACTCGTGTCAGAAACTACGTCCATGCCAGTACTCGACGATGAAAGAGCCATGCACTTTCCATAAATTTCATTAATTTTCGGTTGTTCAGATCTCAACGAGAGATGGATACGACAAATCGCCAGGAGTCGAGCACGTTTACGTGTCAATTACCACGAATCGACAGTAAAAAAACACTTGAGTCCAAATATGGTCGACTCCTTACGATTTCGCAGAGACATTTGAGAGCCATTTGTTGTCTCTGTCCACTAGTATTGAGCTTGCCAGACGAATAATAGCCCGAGCAACAGATAACAGCCATTCGTCATGGGATGTGTACTGTCATCGTGTCTCATAGCTGTACAATTCACTCTCTCATTTATTGTTGTACGTTGGCAGTTGATCTTGCGGTTAACGCTTTATAATTTTCATTTTCGTGGTGTTTTTTTGTTATTTTTTACACTGGCAAACTTTGGGATTGACTCGGCGAGGCTGGTCGCCCACGTCGACGACAGGCTGATAATTTTTCCTAATCACCGTAACGACTGCAGGCCTTTTTCCATCTACACTGCTTACACCACTCGGTCTTCCTGTCCATGCCGTGCACTTTGCGGCATTTTTTAGTCTCACCACGGACGCGTCTGGATGAGGAGAGTATTTTGCCACCAGCTGATACTGCCAGGAGACCACTGCTCGGCGGGAAAATGTGACGTTGCTGGGATGTTGTTGGCTTCAGGTGCTTTATTGGAGTTCCCTGGAAAATTAATTTTTTTTTGTTATTGTATATTCGAGTATACGTGGTGACGATATATTTATTTACTGATTTTGATATTGAGAAGGCCCGAGTGTACTATCTTTCGAACGTTATTATTATTTTGTTTTATCATTCTATCATAATTTTTGGGAACTTCTACATGATGTACTACTCAATTGACAATTTTGGATTACGAAAGATAAAAAAAATCCAGACAACATTCGAAAGATAGATAAAATCATTTTAAATGTCCGGAAATTTGGGGTCAACTGGGGCTCAAATGAAAGCTCTCAGATTCGATTACATGAGTAGAAAGGCACTTCAGCGAAGAAAAAATAGCCAAAGTACTTAGATATTCTTAAGGATATCCAAGTATCTATTATAGTTTGATACAGACCCCACTATAGACAATCATTTTCAATCATCAAATTTGTGAATTAAATTCCGTGAGAAATACTTGAAAAAAATCATGAATATTCAACGTTATTAAAATTACATTTTGCACCGAATTATTGTTTTAAACATTCGTTGTTTACAAATAAAAAATTGAAATTGTTTAAACTTTAGAAATCCTATCTTTTTAGGCATGAAATCGATTTTTTATAAAATTCTGAATATGAATAAATTTGTTATGATTCCGAATAAATGATTTTTTTAGCGGACAATTGATTGTTTATAAATGAATTATAGAAAATGCTCGTAATTTTTAAAAATTGCAATTTTTAAATTATTTCCGCAATTTTTCTTCAAAAGTAAAGTTTCTAATTGTTTTTTAGGTTTTTAAATGTTTTCTAACGGTTCAATATTGAGATTAAAATTCAGACTTGCAAAGTTTAAATAATAAAATCATTGTAAAATGTCCGAAAATTTAGGGTCAAATGGGGCTGAAATGAAACCTCTGATGTTTGATTGCAAAAGTAGAAAAGCATTTTACTGAAGAAAAAATAGCTAAAGTATTTGGATGTCCTTAAAATGGAATTTTTTCATGTTCAAGGAAGATTCTGTTATTTTTTAGACCCATAGAGAAACATGAAATCGACATTTTTGATAGCTAAGAAAAATTTTTTGCAGTAACTTCGACGAAACGGAATGAATTAACAGCTCAAATTTTCCAATTTTTTTGTTTGATTTTCTGGACGAAAAAATAAAAATAGAATGAAAAAAACTTCAAAAATTTGAGCCAAGCAAATTCTATAGAAAGTATCTCAAGAGAATAAGCTGCATAAAAAATCGAGTGTTATTGACGTTTTCTATCAAATATTTTCTATTGAACAATACAATTCTCTAGCGAATTCACTAGGTTTTTGTATTGAATTTTTTCCTGTGCGCAATTTAAGTTCGAGAATGTTCTTTATTGAAAAACCCCAAAGTTCTCATTTTATAAACCCAAAAGTTCTGCAGCCCAAAGAAATGCCTATTTGTCACCTGAAAATTTCCTCGAAATAAGAGGAAATGCGCCTTAATCCAAGTTCAATCATCCCAGATCTCAATAAAATGTCTGAAAACTCGACCGTTTTATAATTTTTAGGAAAAATTGTCTTAGAATAAGTGCAAAGTTTCCTATTTCTTCTCTGCACTCCCATTTTTGCATTCACCTCAAGAAGTAATAATTCTAAAAAAGGGGCAAATGTCAAGAGAAGTTCCTTGAAGACGAGAAATTTCTTTCAGAATAACTCGTTAAGAAGACGATTGCATAATTATGCAGATGTCATCTCACTACTGACAGCTTCCATATAATTTCTTAGAACGTAACAAATAATTACCCCTGTGGGAGATGATGGACACAGTGTGAAGGACTGCTCCTCATTCCTTATTTTCAGAAGCGATGTTTGTGGAGCTCTGACAGCAGGTGTTTCGATAACCTTAACAACTTTGGCTTCTGCTTCCAATGCAAGTTGCTTCTGATACTCAGGGTCCTCGTGCGGTGGCCTTGCCATGTCTCGGTGAGACATTGTTGGTGGTGAACTCACGTACTCAATGACCTTTATCACATCGAAGTAGAACTCCTCTTCCTGGACGGTGCACGCAACTTCAGCTGGTATTGGTGGACTGTAACAGATGTAATCAAAAGTTTAGTTTTCCCCTGAGAGTTACAGAGTTTCGCTCGGTTCAGTTCAACAATCTGATGTCCATCACAGCTTCATAATAATAAACGAAAAAGAGACAAGTGGGAAATTGCTCTTGCATTGTGTATAGTATAATTATTTTTGCTAATAAATTAGTAATATGTTTCCAAATGTTTATTTCGCACAATATTTCCTTGTATTACGCATAATTCATTGTTTATTTCATTTTATTAAATTGAATAAGATCTCTGTTTAACTAATTATGTCAGATTTTCAACGTAGTTGAATGTTATCAGCATCAATCTTCTTATTATCCCTTTTCTTCTATACAACCGATTGTTTTTTTTACAGCTCTATCTCTCCCCTCAGCCCTTCGATAAAATGTTAGTAAAATTTGCCACGATTGTCTACGTAATTTTTATTTACACTTTATACTTTTATGCTTGCGTGAAAAGTGAACAGAACACATCGCAGATCGAACACCCCTCGAACTTTCATCCCCCAAGAATGAGCAATTTCCCAATTTTTCTAGACTGCATTGATACTAATTAGCACGCGTCACCAGGTGTGCTCGCCACACTCCAAGTAAGGTCATGGTCAGTGGCCTTCCCTTCGTGACCTCCCCTCCGTGCTCTGAACGCGTTTCGATATGATTAGTAGCTGATTCAGCAGATGATGTGGGCTCTCCAAAATTCCTCAGGGCTATTGATTTTTATTTGTCAATTGGTTTTTTTCTTCCATTCGGATGGATCATAAGAGTCCTATGAGTGTTATATGAGGTCATTCGGAAAGTATCTGAGGTCACATGATGTCATAATGGGCTCATATGGGATGATACAGGGTCATATGGGGCCATATGAGGATCGCATGGGGTTATACGGGAGTCATATGGAGGTCATATGTGGCAATATGAGGGTCATATGGGCTCATATGGGGTCGTATCAATCGATATGGGTTCATGAGGTTCATATAGGGTTATATGGAGGTCATATGGAGTCATATATGGTGTTATGGGGTACTACAAGGGTCACATCAGCTCGTACAAGAGTCATAGGGGGTCATACGAGATTATATGGAGTGATATGCAGTCATGTGGGCTTATATAGGGTCATGTGGAGCCACAGATGTCACATGAAGCCAGATGGGGTCATATGGGGATTCTATGGGCTCATAAACGGGTATATGGAGGTCATATGTGGCAATATGAGGGTCATGTGGGCTTATATAGGGTCATGTGGAGTCACATAGATGTCACTATTCAAAACAATAAACAATAAGAGTAATGAATTTCAAAAATAGAGAATCCATTCGGAAGCATATCGCTAATTTGTGTTTATGAGTGTTATATGAGGTCATTCGGAAGGTATCTGAGGTCATATGGTGTCATAATGGGCTCATATGGGATGATACAGGGTTATATGGGGCCATATGAGGATCGCATGGGGTTATACGGGAGTCATATGGAGGTCATATGCGGCAATATGAGGGTCATATGGGCTCATACGGGGTTGTATGAATCGATATGGGTTCATGAGGTTCATATAGGGTTATATGGAGGTCATATGGAGTCAAATATGGTGTCATGGGGTCCTACAAGGATCACATCAGCTCGTACAAGAGTCATAGGGGGTCATACGAGATTATATGGAGTGATATGCAGTCATGTGGGCTTATATAGGGTCATGTGGAGCCACAGATGTCACATGGAGCCAGATGGGGTCATCCTTTGCAAGGATGTATCATGCAAAAATAATAATTATTTTGACTTTTAAGATTTTCACGTCTGATCCTTGGGATAGTTACATTCAACTCTCTGTACAGATATTTGTTGGTAAAAATTATGAAATAACGGGTAATTTTATGACGAAAATTATTCAAGAAAAAGTTATTGTCACCACTGAGTCCCGCTGCCACCTATTGTCCTGTTTTATGACCAATAGATGGCGATTAGAACAAACCTCGACCTGCCTGCATTATCACATAATCTACGATTCCATACTTTTTTTTTGACAGACTCATTTAAAAAGCGACTTTAAGTTTCTAGTAAGAAAACTTAAAGTTGTCAACAGTGGAAAGCCCAAGTGATTTGAAGAATTCTCATGTTTCTGCTGTGCAAAAATTTTGAATGAAACTTGCAATTTCGTGTTTAGAATAATTTTGAATAATCTTGAAAATATGTATTTTGTATTGTATAACTTTTTTTTCAAGACAAATAAACCAAAAAACACTTGAAAAATTTTGTCTCTTTGAAAATGATTATCAAGTGACAGTTGTAGTGAAATTTCAGAAAGTTTTATCTTTGAAAATTCACGATTTGATGAAAAAATCCCAATGAGCACAGTGAATTTAATATTGCTATAACTCTTTTTTTCTTAGAAAAATAAACCAAAAACACGAAAAATTTTGTCTAAATTTTCGATAAACTCTGGAAGTTTCTGTCAAGTGACATTTCTTGCGAAACTTCAAAAAAATTTATCTTTGAAAAATCACAATTTGATGAAAAAATCAATGAAAACAGTAAATTTTAGCTCAATTATTCCATAAAAATGAATAGAAATCAAGAAAATTCAGGTAAATATATTCTAAAATTTTTAATTAATTAAAAATTCCACATCATTCGGAGAATTCTCATGTTCCTGCTGCTCAAAAATTTTCAGTGGACCTTGCAATTTCACGTTTATCTCCCCACTCCTACGACTGGATCAAATCAATATCGCTCTCCTATAGACTGTCCACAAGATTTCAAAATTTCATCCAACAATGAAACTCGACTGTTTCGAATAAAACCCAAAAATAATGTTTACTTACTTATGAACATTACGTATGTGTGCCACCATCTGTTCAACCGTTTCCCTGACCTCACCGCATTTCCTCCAGGAGCATTGGAACATAGGATGTATATTAGGCTGCAACAAAAACGAAAAAAAATCAATAACAAATTACAGCTTTTGAGGATTTTATCAACGCTGGTTTAAAAATTTATCATTAAAAAGTTGTCTTGCATATTGTTTTCTTCTTGACATCTTCTGTTTTATTTATTTTTTACTTAAGATTATTCATAATATTATTATAATTAAGAACTCGAAAAATGACGATGTAAACATGTGGGAGACGGCGGGGCAATATGGACACTAGAATTAAATAATGAGCTGAATTGGATCAAATCTACTGTTCCAACTTCATTTGAAGTTTATAAAAACGATCACATTGTCATAAGACTGCGTCATAGGAGTTGTAAGATAAAGCCAAAACGGGGTAAAATGGACACTTCGATTTCTTCCTCAATTTTTTATGTTTCAACGATGTTATTCAATTTCTGAAACACTAGTCACGACTGCGATTTTCAAACTGAAAAAAAAACTCATTTTTGACTTTTGTCGTGGGGGGTGGTAAACCAAATTTTTCCTTGCTCATTTATCCTCCCCTCCTCCCATTGTTTTATGGTGATTTCTTTTGTAAGTCGAAAAGTAGCCATTTTACAAATTTCGCAAATGGACAAAAGGTCAGTTGGGTAGGGCGTGCAACTGTTCATTGAAAAAGAGAAATCATTTCAAAGTTATTTCAGTAGTAAAACAGGAAATCCAAAGCTACTCTACATTTCAAACTTCAATGCAAAATTTAATAGAGTTAAAGTTTATTTGTTAATATCTCTTCCAACTCTAATTTCTCTCTATAAAAAGATATCGACAGCATTCTGTTGGAAAATGTCTGTTGAAAATTTTCTCGATTAAAAGTTGAATAGAATCAACTTTTTCCAGTGTCCATTTTACCCCACTCTTGAATAATTTTTCGGTTGTGAACATTGCCAAGAAGCAATTCCAAAAATTCGATTATTGAAAATTTTGTGAGCGATCATTTCAGCCCATCCTATATGGATTTATCAGAAGTCCATATTTCCCAATGAAACAATTTTCAAAAATTTGAATTTCGAAAAAAAAAATTGTTTTTCGCAAATTTTTTCACTGCATTTTCCCCACCTTCCCCTATATATAAAAATGATGATATAAACATGTTATATATCACATATATTTTAGTCTTTTTGTAACTCTTTTTTTAGCAGAATAAACCGAATAATTTGAATGCTATAAATAAAAAAAATCGAGTCTGCGGTCAGTCGTAATCTCTCATCTGTCGAACCATTGAACCTCTCTCAGCCCTAAAGTTCGAATTTGATGAGATTCAAATAACAATGCGAAAGAAAAATGTACGTAACGATCATCAATACCATCCCTTCCCGGTTTCACGTCATTAAATCCTCGAAAATTAATCCGGAACAAATTAGTCCTAGTCAAAAAATCCTGCAAAAAATGATCCTAAACAATTCAATCCTGCAAACAAATCCTATACAAATAATCCCAGTGCAAAAAACTCAGCAACAAAATTTTCCGCAAAAAAATCGGAAAAATGGGAAAAACAATGCGACGTAAAATACTTAACAAATTACAATCATTTATTTATGCTGATATCAACCCATGAAAAATGTTGTAAAACCTCAAATCTCAGAACAAACATGAAACTCAGCAGTCATGAAATATTGAAATAATTGTCCGAATTGTATCGTCAAACTTAATTAACAAAAAAAACAAACATGAAAAACCAATGACATCATCAAAAAAAATTGTGTTCAGACAACTTAAATTGTTGAAAGCAACACGTGCACAATTCAATAATTAATATTTAGATTTACTAGTTTTATTATTATTTATTTTTTATTTAGATTTATTAGTATTAGAGACAAACGAATAAACAACGACAACAGCCAATGCGTCACACAGATACGTCCGGTATTTACACACAAATTAGACAAGAATTCATTTCCTGGAAAAATAAAAATGAGAGGAAAAAGAACAAATCGTCATGTACAAGAAACAATTGCCACTATTCTAGAATACAATTTCCTTCAACTGAAAGTGGACATTCAAAATATTTAACCCAGAGTTATCATTATTTTTTGAAATTGGTAGCAATATAATCATTAGAAAATCTCAGGATCAAATCATCCCGAATCATTTTGTTCAGGATTATATTGCATCAGGATTAATTTGAGTAGGATCATTTTGCAGGATTAAATTGTCGCAGATAATTTTGACCAGGATTATATGGCGTGACACCTCCCCGCCCCTTAATTCCCCAAATTCGCCATAAAATGCGAGCGCAAAGGGCCTCAAAGAGTGATGAAAATCGATGATAGCAAAACACAACAATTCAATAATTAATATTTAGATTTACTAGTTTTATTATTATTTATTTTTTATTTAGATTTATTAGTATTAGAGACAAACGAATAAACAACGACAACAGCCAATGCGTCACACAGATACGTCCGGTATTTACACACAAATTAGACAAGAATTCATTTCCTGGAAAAATAAAAATGAGAGGAAAAAGAACAAATCGTCATGTACAAGAAACAATTGCCACTATTCTAGAATACAATTTCCTTCAACTGAAAGTGGACATTCAAAATATTTAACCCAGAGTTATCATTATTTTTTGAAATTGGTAGCAATATAATCATTAAAAAATCTCAGGATCAAATCATCCCGAATCATTTTGTTCAGGATTATATTGCATCAGGATTAATTTGAGTAGGATCATTTTGCAGGATTAAATTGTCGCAGATAATTTTGATCAGGATTATATGGCGTGACACCTCCCGACCCCTTAATTCCCCAAATTCGCCATAAAATGCGAGCGCAAAGGGCCTCCCAGAGTGATGAAAATCGATGATAGCAAAACACAACAGCAGTGAACAAGAGTAAGCGTGGGTTTTCCACCGGCGTGCGCACACTTCTTTGTTTACATCGAGAGCACGCCGGCATTACTCTCCTCCCTACTACGCGTTATGATGCACAACAAAGAGTCATGACTCAAACGGTCACGTGGTTGTATCGATCCCGTAGATTTATATCAATCCCGAATTCCGCGAATTGCGATTTGTTTCGTTATTCTGACTGTAAAAATGGCCTAAAAATAATATCAGCCCCGGCATTCCTAAATTTTTGCGGTGAGCCTTCATCGCCTTTCTTCTCTTTCTCTCTCTCCCTCTCTCTTTTTTTATACAGCCGGTTGTGCTGCGCACTGGGGTCAGGGACCTTCCATGCCGGCTGGTAGGCCGACCGGAGACTCCCCCCCCCTCTGGCCCCTCTCCCGCCCAACCCCTCATCCTTGCTCCTTCGATCCACCTTAAACTCCGAGCATAAGGTCAGTTTCGTTCGACTCATTTATTTTTCTCCTTCGAAAAGGAAAATTAAAAGCAATGAAATGTAAATAATCGAAAGTTGCATTCATAACAACCCCGTGTTGACCGCCCAACTGTCCCTGCTACCTCGACACAGACAGGTATAAGAGGTTGTGTGAACCTGACCAAGTGACAGGGTTGCCACTTTGTTCTGTTCTCTTACTGTTCAAGTTCCCCCGGATTTCGATTCCCCTTCCAACGTTGCCGATTATTTTTTATTTTTCAACTTTTAACGATAGCCATGAAATTCCGGTTGAATAAACAAACTTCATTGTTGAGGATATTCAAGTATCTTTTACAGTTTGGTGGAGATCGCCTTGTAGATTCAACCGTTTTCAGTCATTATATTTGTCAATTGAATTGCGAGAGAAAAATCGGAAAACAATCGTTAACATTCGGCGTCATTCAAACTGCATTTTGCACAGGATTATGTTTTTTTAACCATTCATTGTTTATAAATAAATGATTGAAATTGGTTTAATTTTAGGAAAACTTATTTTTGTGGACATGAAATCGATTTCTGGTAAAATTCTGAAACTGAATAAATTTATGATTCTGAACAAATGATATTTCCATTCGGAAGCACCGGCCAAAGTACTCGGCTATCCTTAAACCGCTGCTCACTAGATAATACCGCTAATTAAAGATCAAAGACCACACGCTACTACCAATTGAATCCAGCTACCACGGGACGCGATAACTCCTCTCAATCTCCCACTCCTCAATCGCCAAATTATCCCAATATCCTATTCTAAAAAGAACATACACTTAAAGTCGATAACTATCGATATCTCGCAAGTCTGTCACGCTTATTCCTCATTGGCTCCAGTCTTCTGAGGCGGCAAATTTAATTCATGATGATTAATTTAATTTTGAGATTTTCAATTATGATTGTTACAATTATAGCGCGCTGTAGCGCGCGTTCGGTCTCGTCTTCAAAAATTTCCCAAACCCCAGCGCCAATTTCTCCTCATTTTCTCCTAAAACCGCTCGCTGCCTAGACAATCCCCCATTAAGAAATCCCAAACTCCTCATAATTTCAAAACAATCATTACGAAACGTGATGAACGAGATAAAAAGTGAAACAAATTTCGACAGAAATTTCATCAGTCCCGAGGGGGGTAAAAAAAAATTTCATGTTTGTTGTTGGTGCCTGTTCACTCGTGTCCCGATAATGTTGCGGAGATTTTCATGTATACACTCGGATTTGTACTTCAACTGCCGGTCGTGGGGGCGGAGGGGTCGAGGGACGGAGCAAGGAGGGGTCGGAGGGGGGGGGGGGGGGGGGCTGTTCCCCCCAACAGGCGGATAGGGGGTAACGCCCGGAGAACCAAAACAAACAGGCGCGCGCGAGTCGGCCGTGTGCTGGCGCGCGTTCGTTCCATGCATTGCGCGTTGATATGGTGTGAGGGTCGGACGTTGACCCTTACTGCCGCCGCACACAAACGCATCTTTTCCTACTGTTGTGAGAGAGATAGAGAGGGGGGGGGGGAGAAGGGACGAGCATAACCGAGGAAAAGAGAACAGAGCGGTCTACATCTCCGTGACTCCTGAAATGTCTGTGTGGCGTTGAAGGGCGTTATGGCGCCGTAAAAATCCCCCTGGGGTGTCCCACCCTATCCTGCCCCCCATCACACGCGTCGAATGTGAAATAGTATATTTCGA